TCAGAAGTCTGCGGATCAACAGGGTTTGAAACAAGCGATTGTTTGCTTTTCATTCAAATGATAAAAACTTCCACGTAATACCAACTAACGTGTTAAAGCGATTTTATTTAACAGGAAAGTTAAGTGGCGCCATTATTGCCTCCAGATATATATATTTTTTCATTTCGTTGTCCTAGTTACACTTAATTATCGATCACATGATTAACTTATTAATCTCCGGTGTTCAGAATGAATCTGATCAAACGGAAACGTCCGAAGGAGCAACGGTCATCTTGTCGGTACTGTTAGAGAAATAATCTGTAGTACATAGAATTGAATAACCTGAAATGCGAGCCCAATCAAACTAATTAATGAGCTTTGTCATGGTGGAAGAGATACGAAGAACCAAACAATAGAAACACAAAGGGATTGTACACCATAAGTCGATAACAACAAACTCAATAAACTATTCACCCAGTCATGAATCTTCATCGAAAAGTTAAGTATTATTAAATCGAATATCACCGACAGTTAAGCTTCACGCCGATGCCACGGATCTACGTTGAATAACAATGGCGTGCGAAAGAACAACACATTATATGATGCCGTTCGGAGATAGTAACGTACTTTGTATCAGAAGCAACCGATTGTGGAAAGCGAGTGCTGAGTGACAAAAGTTTATCGCTATCTGTTTCCTCTGCTCCTCATTTGTTCCGAGGAGAAGACCTCTGGCCAGCGAAATCGAGCACTCAAGACCCATTCGTTTATGCAATTTAGTTAAACATAAAAATACAAGCTGAATTTTTTTACTTACATTACACACGACGTTATCTGCCCACTGGGCTACACTGCGTGTTCTGACCCAGCGAAGCTGAACCGTTCGCTCTCGGAGATCGAGATGCACCAATGCAATCGCCTTATTGGCTCATCAATCCGCCGTTGAAGGGACCCGGTTGCCACGCGAGAATTTTGTATTCGATCTGTAAGTAAAACGTGCGTATCTACTCGTATACCGAATATCGTTCCGGAAATGACGACGTTCGCGTTTTCAAAGCAAGACACCTGGCGCGGAGTATTTATGTTTATAATACAAAAGTTACAGATTTCATTGCGTAACATATAAAGGGCAAGATGCATCCATCCTTTTAGTATCCAATAAAAGATAGGTTTACTTCGAAACCTCATTCAGAAGGGGTATTAAATAAAATCTAGAAAGAAATGCAGTTCGTCTCTTTTCGAAGAGGATATCGGACAGCACCTCACAGATGGAAAATTTACTATTTATAGGTGTGAAATCATGCTCTAATTTTAGCTTTTGCCATATCCTGAAATGATCACCCTCAGTTTTATCTATGATGATAATTCAAACTGCGATTTGGTCTGGTATATGTCCAAGATGCTGGTGGTTGCGATATAAACAAAATAGTTGTTTGCGTATTCAAGGTACGTTTTTACGCATACAAACAGTCGTTTTTTTTACGTTTTAAAGTCGTCATAACGACGCCATCGTTATTGCTTCTTTTTCTAAGAGGACCTCAGAAACAAGGTGTAAAAGTCCGCGAAGGTAGAGAACTATATACTTGTGCACGTGTACGTTCGCTACCAACATGTTACATGTACAGTACTAAGTTGCTTCATTGCGAGGCTTTGCACGAGCAAGCTTTACAGGCCGTTAACGAAGATCGCCTTAAAAGGTAAAAGGGCAGCCCTCGCCGCATAAGAAGAAGTTGCAAAGCAAACAGACAAGGTCACTAGTAAAGTGCAATGTTCGCTGTATTGTTTCCAGCAACCAATTGCTCCCCGAGGTCCCGCGTGTTTAAAGGGGACGAGGTCAGCGTAACGGCTGAATAAATAATGATGGCCTTAATAGTCCTACTACCGCATGGTATATATGTGGTCGTTTGGAGGGCATCGCGTTTTGGCTATCATGGAGTAAAATGCGCGGTATCTTTTAAAAAGCTTGAAGAACTTTTTTATTCTGTTAATTTGCTCAACAAAGGCTTTACTTTTACTTAGCTTAGAAAATTTTTCGGTTTCAATTAAGCAAAAATGAAAACGTTTTTGTAAGTGTTTTTTTTTGGAGAAACATGTGCAGTTAGAGGTGATAAAATGACTTATTAAAGTCATTAGTAACTGGGCTCTGTCGACTGAACCCTCCCTTTTTTGCTTTCGAAATTGTCCCACATAGCTTTACCTTTTTATGAGGTGCGGAGTATCAAACTTAAATAATCTTCGTCATAGACAAACTGTATTACATAGCTATGGTTTGCACGCGACACTGTTATAAAAAACTGCTAGCCTCTAGTGCTAAACTTTTTTTGAGTTTACGATGAGATTTGAACCTAAGGACTCCTTAGAAGTGTCACTATTTTATTTGGCTTTAAAGTTCGTTCCTAGTTTCAGTCGAAGTTGCAGGCTAAATACAGTCCATTTAGTCAAGCAAAATTTGCCAAAGCATATCGAAGCTCTCTAAAACTTCGAACTATGTTTATGCTTCCGTTCTCTAGACAGCGCCACAGTACTATTGTTACCTGGCAGTTTAGTAACTCGACTTTAAATTCGTGGCTAGCTGACTCTTTTGAAGTTCAATAACTTGAAGATTATAATATCCTATGGGGTATGAATGGTCATTTCAAAGGCTCCGATCTGCCCAGCCCCTGGCTCCCTGCGGTCGTACTTCCCGCCTAAAATGCGGTGCCATCGTCACTGTGGTTTCACGGAGGCTACCTTGACTTATTATATCGTGCCGTACTATCGTCGGGAATGCGAGGCCCAAAGCCTCCCATTGCCACAGAGCCTGGGTTCTTAGGGCGGGGCCAACGTGGCCCTGGCGTTTCCGAGTTATCCATAGGTTAGTGGGGGGGTTGATAATTCCAATTGCTCGGCATTGCCAACAACACTAGCTGATTTGTCATGATATGAACGAAGGGAACCTTCGCCACCGAGTAATATAACGTTCTCAGTTGTGGCAGCTGTGGCACATGCGTACGTACAGCTTTACTAAAAGAGGAGTACCTATAACCCAAACATACCGAAACGGCAGGTATTGAAGTGGTCTCAAATGAGGTTGGTGAATCTGGAGAATTCATTGGCAAATACCTGCACGTAGCTGGTTCTTCAAAATTCTCGAAGCTCACCCAGACACTATGATAAAGTACGCAAGCAAGCTAGCCCAGCATTTTTAGGTGAAAAGACTACTGTTTTCCAACTTCTATGCTGTAACGTGCTCTGCGTCCAATCGAACATTTTGTGTCGTCACGGTATCGGAAGCTGGATAACCTGCAAATCGAGTTCGACACCGCGATTATAAAACTGATCTATTAGAAGTTTCGAGTGGACTTGTTTCCAATTGAATAAGCTCGAGGTCCATGAGCGTCCGTATATGTTCCCTGTGGATAATCGTTCGTGTTTTAGCTCGAAACTTTTGCTCGCTTCAGCTATTCAGTAAGAGTTCAACATAATAGAGCGTATTTGTAGTTTGGTTAGAGTCAGCCTTACATATGGTTCGCCCAATAGCGTCAAGGTCTGTGCTAGCTCGTGATCTATAAAACAATCCTTTAGTGGTTCGTTTGTCTTTATGTGATGCCCGCAGCTTTCGTTTTCGCCGTCAATCGATAATGAAAGATAGTCTATATAGCGAAGGATTCTATATTCCTGCAGGAGGTATTCTGTGAAAGAACGAAGAGAAAAACTATGGAAAACATAATGTCGAGCTGAACTTTTAACTTTATTTAGGTTTTTAACGAAATTTTGATGCTATTTTGAACCTGGGCATTCTGGAGGCTTGACAAACGAAAGCTATTTTTCACTTTAAGGGTCTGTTTTGCTTTTCTTTATTGCAGGAAATAACATCATTTATATGAACCCGTCTACCAATTGAACAGCACTGATATAAGCAAAAAGCTTACATTTTTTTGAATTTATGTTTTATGAACAAAGGACACACGGGCATTTTGTAGCTTGTAGGATAGCTGGTAGGAAACGCTTACAGTTTCCTGCCGCTACCATTGCGATTAAATTCGGTATTTCTATTCGGTATATATTTGCTATACATGCTTCACCTTGCGAGAAATTATATCGGGGTATACGATATCAACGGATACGGTATCCATATATACATATATATGTATATACGAATAGGAATGAGCTTTCCGTTCTCATAGACGGAGATAGTTTTGAAGTAGCTGATAAATGCTAACCACCTGCATATGCACCAATAAAGTGGAAACTTCGTTCTACGGATCTATGGATTATCATGTACGTGCGTGCGTGCGTGGTTTTTCCCGACGATCGTGATAAGTAAACGTACGTCCGTCTCCTGCCTTCCTTCTGTTCAAAGCCAGAGAGGTTCTACTTGTTACCGCTGGCTTACTGTATACATATATGTGAATTTATACATTCCGGAATACTTACCGGAATTGTGCCGGAACAAACAATGCTAACATCGTTCACTACTCAACGGATATAAGTGAAACGAACTGAGAGCAAATAAGTTATTAATGACCCTACGTGTAAGTAGAATAAAAAACGCACATTATTTATGTATATATATATATATATATAAGGTTTTCATGCATTCAAAGAGGCTAGCTTTTCTGCAGTACATATGGGTGGTGTGGATTGCTTTTAATAGTTAAAATTAGAAAACAAACGGTGCCTGATTTAGCCGGTAATCTAGTAGACCAACGCTTCTCGTCAAACCCGAAATACTCTCAACTAACAGACAGGGTCGTATCAACAGACACGGTTGCATCTACTTGATCAAAAAGATAATAATAATGAGAGAACAGTGCGTAACAGCTCGTTAACTCAGGTCTGAAGCTTCAAAAAGAGGTGTCCCAGCCTGCCTCAAAGCAGAACGTCTTTTTCATTTGATGAACTAAACAGCTTTTGGGGAAGAACTGGCCACTTTTTTGAAATAACAGTATAAACGTATCTAGACGTTACTATTGACACTTAGTGAAATCGAGGCATCTAACCTTAATTTTTGACATTTTGTATTTGTTTTCTCTTACTTATAGGGCTCACCAGCTCGCTACCAATGGAGAAGCTGCAATCTGAATGTAAGTAATCTGAAGAAGGTATGTTCAATATAGAACAATAGGCGACGGTCAGCAGATCAAAGCACATGTGACAACCATGTCAAGTTAAATACAATTAGGCACCATGTGATTGATATAAAAGCGTGGCAAGGCTTACATATCCTAGTGGTTTACGCATCAGACATCCTTTATTCGATATGTTTATCGACGCTCAACATTTAGACTACTTTCTATTCATGTGATACAGTGTGATATCCACGAGGGGTGGCTGAACGAGGACCAAGTGCGCAGAGTCAGGAAGCAGCTGTACGTCAACAATCGGGTAAGTGAACAAGACAGTCCACAACGTCCGGCATCGAGGTCATACCGTCACCAACGGCGGAATACGTTCGCTCACCAACATCATACACTGTCTGATCGGGAACGAGAAAGCGCTGAACGGAAGGTGACTCAACGGCAATACGGCAGCAGTGCTGCAGTTCCAGTACATGGCGGCAGCGGCCGATTACATACGCAACTGGCGCAACTTCACAGCGAGCTTCACGGGGATAATTGGTCGAGTCCAGCTCACCACCGCTTGCTCCAGCAGCTGACAACGGGAAGCCAACCACCGCTACAGCATCACCAAGGCCATCAGCAGTATCGTCACCGGTTCGATCTGGTGAGAAATGATACGAACAGTTTCCTCTGGCACAAATAACAGCAGCGACAATAACAGCTGCTGCTGCTGCTGCTGCCGCCGATACATTGCGATGGATGTGTCCTCGTAAACAGCTTTCTAAAGAGCCTAAAAGCACATATTTGAAACTGCACGTTTTCTACAATTAGCTATTGAAAAGCAGCAGAGACGAGAGCTCGGCTACATCACATCCTATTTCAGCCGTCACTCACGTAAACACTTTTAGGACAAGACCTATGTACATTTGGTGTTCTAGGAAACAATACTTCTGCGGATGTGTGCTACGGCATTTTTGAACAACGCAAGCTATAACTGCTTACGGCAGCGCAGATGGCGTATCTGCCCGAAGGTAGAAGCACAAAAGCCAACCAGGTCCTCTAGTCGTTCACACGAAGTTAGCTTAATGTCTGATGAAGTCTGAAGAGTTGGTAGCCAGTAGTTCGATTTAACCGTAGATTTCTAGAGTGCATCACCGAACAGCTCATTTAGAAACGGGGCAAGCTAATTGCCCGACCTGACTCGAAGACCTATTCACAGCATATCGATATCTGTTTGTCAATTGTAGTTTGTTGGCGCCTGGAAAATAAAACTGATTGTCAATGTCTGCTCCTACTACACTCGAGAATGCCCTTACTGCATGTTTCCTGCAATATATATATGCACGTCTACATGATACTGCATTGTAGAGACTATTGATCCTGCTAGCGTGTTCTGCCGCAATTATAATACAGACAGACTCGATACCTAAAATATACGCTGCCTAACACAGTCGTCTCACTAGCAAGGTCTATAATGTGTGCTACGCTGCAAAAAAGAAAGAAAATATTGTGTACTTTATACATTTAATAGTCATTCTACCACTAGTCTGTGCTGAAATCTCAACATTTTTTTTTTTTTTTTTTTTATAGTTAAGAGCATAACTTAAATGTCTTTGAAGTTATACTACTTTGTTTTTTGAGTTTAAAGCCTAACAAAAACTTGTGTCCCAGCAGAGTTATGGTCGTGAAGTGTGCTATGATCCTCATCGGGATCCGGATCATTCGTCTGACCTCAACATTCACAAGTACGTAAACGTTCCCTGCATTCACCTATACCTATATATTGCTTACTGATTTTGAACGAGTCAGAACAACATGGGCATTACCTCATTTTCTACCATTCTCAAACGATCTACTCGAGTTAAAGTCTAATTGGCCTTCAAATCGTGGCTTTTTAATTGACACCAAATTTTTTCACATTATACATATGCATGTATATACAGTACGAATTTCTATACTTCCTAGACGTAGTACTGATATGCCACTCGATCGAACTACTCGCGCAGACGAGGGCAAATAGAGTTATATGCTAGTTAAAGTTGATTCCCCAAGGAATAAAGAAAGCTTTATCGTTTGGGGAATTAACTTATCGCAACGATGTTCGCTGCTGTTACGACGCGCGAACCGCTGCCGTCTCTTACTTCAGCTCTTTTGCTCTAGCAACTATAAATATTGTAGAATTTTTGTGTACAATGAAAGTTATTTTTCTAGCTCAAATCAATTTCCTCTTTGGTTTGCGTGAAAGAGAATTGAGTAAAATATAGGCTTGGGTCTTTTTGGGTGACCCTACATACACGCTAAGTTTTCTTAGCTGCCCAAGTGATTTTCATCGAAGTAATTTGGCAAGTATCATGGCATGCACGGGGAATGTAAGTACATAACCAACTCAAAACCTGAAGTGATTATTTTCCATGCAAAATTAGCTGCTTTAAGCTTTTCATTTTCAAGTAAAAAGCCAGAACCGCTTCGATAAGTGTTACATTTAATCACAAAAAGACGGTTTGATATCTGTCTGGCCTAACTTAAGGCGAAGAAATCTTCCTTATTGTTACAGTTAAAAGAGGAGTTATGAAAGTTACTTTTTATTGTCCATATAAAGAAATCTATTTTCTAAAACTTGAGCAGCTTGGACTTTGCCCTGTTTGCTCTCAGACATTCCATGTCTAGACTCGAGCAGGTTTTATTAAAAAAATCTAATCCTTAAAAAACTTAGAGCTAAGTTCATAATGTTTCAGCTGGTAAATTTATCTATGCGTCGTAAATTAGTTGCTTCACACTTTCTATACTGATATTGCTGAAACTAGGGAAAATATATAGGAGAGCTCTGTTACTATCGAACATTATGAAATTTGTGAATGTTATCACTCTTATCAAAATAAGGAAGAAAAACACGTAAAATTATTTTACTGAGAGTACCATCACATCGTATTCAAAACAAACGTCGAATGTTTTTTGATTCAGAAATTGTCAGATCTGTTATTATGATTTCAGTTGAAAAACATATTGACACCGAATTTTTTCGAAATTAAGAAGTGTAATGGTCATAGACCACTTATGAAAATAAGGTTTATTTTCGAATACGCACACACGCACAAAAGCAAATTTGTAACATCATCTTAAACGAGGCCCGGCCAATAGTGGATAAGATTATTATCAGCGCGCTATCGAACGGAAACTGTAAATATGCTAATTTCCCGACTAAAACTATCGAGCAAATGCTCAGAGTACATATTCTAGCGCTCAAAAGTCAAGCCTTAATAATTGAAGCAGCAAATAGTTAATCTATCTTTGAACTTGTAGTCCAGTCTAGTCCGCAACCTATTAAGGCTAAAGGATTGTTCGGGCACCGACTTCTAGATCACTTTCCAGCCTATCATCATAACTTTCGCAAACGACCTTTCGGTATGTATCGTACCTTCGACCGATTAAGCTTAAAAAAATTCGGGCAAAGAATTTGTAGTCATACTACAGTAAGCGCTCAGTTTTTCAAATATGTTCAATCTAAGCCCCACCCGGGATACCGAAACTACAGGACAAGCTATAGGGGCAACCCTTTGTTACTCATGTGCGAGTATGCAACGGATTTAATTCCAGATTCGACAGTCATAAAAAGACCAGAATTTAGAAGCATAAATCGTTTCCTGTGGATGTTTTATTCCATGCGTAGATGAGATTTTCGCAACAACGAACAGAAGACCCCTTAACTGCTAGTTTGCAGTTAGGAAACTTAATTGTCTATAGCTAATTCTTCTATGATTATGACGTTCAAAAAGTCAAGCAATTCTATGGAAGACGAACTAGTGTCCAGTGGTATACATGGTGACCGTGGAATATTTTTTTGTTTAAGTACGTATCTACATAATACTGTATATTCAAAGTAAAACGAGAGCAGGGCAAATCTAGAGTTTTTACAGACGGCATTGAACCCTGCTTACAATCTGGCCAGCCCTTTAATATGTTGACAAAACCCTGACGCGCTTCAAGTTAAGTTTCTGTTGCAATGGTATAGGAGAGTACGTAGCTTGTTCTGCATGAATGATACATCGTTATAGGAATTCCCACAGATAACGAGCATTTTTAGCGCAATGAGCTACAGTGGGCATACGCGAGATGTTGTTTGAACGTGAGAGCGTTTGATGTTTGCAATAACAAGTTTGCCCGTTTTGAGGCACATTTAGGTACTGGATTTGTAAATATACAAAAGTATTGATCCAACGTCACTGATTACAGGCCAACTTGTAAAGACGCTGTGGCGCTCTGCTCGCCTTTGTACCTCCGATTTGAAAGCCCATTTTAAAACATTCTGAATTGTTCTTCGTGTTTTGCAAGCACTTCGATAGAAGCATATTCGGCCATGTTTTATTTAAGGAAATTAAATGGACTATTAAAGAGTCTGCATTATATTTAGTGCTAAAAATAAAGTGTTCACGAAAAGCATAGAAGGATTTTTAGGACTAGGCTTTAAGTTAATACTAAGCATACACCGTTAGTATAACTCGTGCGTAACGGTTTCGCAACGGACGAAAAAGCCTTACGACGACCCTCGCCTTAGGCGGTCCGTCAGCGCGAGCACGGATAAATACGTAAGAAAACCAAAATAACTCGTCCTGGAAAATCGTTAGATCATCGTCAGATGACTAGCACACGAATTAGATATGCTATACGAGAGAAAAATTAAAAAGTAATACATTTTTTTTACCGCAATATTAATGAATTAAATTATACGTCTCTACTTCACTGTTTTTTTGCTGTGTTGCCTTAACACCTATATTAACCAGGTCAAACCGCTCTTGCTTTTCCCTATTTAAAGCTTGAAAAACGACTGAAAACTATTAAAGACTATTGACAAAATCGAAAAATATGAAAGCAGACATAAAACATGTTTCAGCCATTAACTTCGAGAAATTCTTTTAAAGACAAAAACAACGGTGCTATACTTGTGCTGGATCCGACCGGAACTTGGGAGAGTTGAACGACTGAGCAAGCAATAAACAGACCGGAGTGTATTCGGCCCAGACCGAGCGAGGCTAATATCCCTAACCTGATAATTTGAATCTACATATTACTTGAATGCTACAAAGACTCAAATCTCCGTTTTCATAGCATGTTTTGGCTATGATTAAATCATACGGAACCCAGTACAAATATCTTAAAAACCAATATTGCCAAATTTTCGCGCATATACAAATCCGAAAACATTGCTTTATTAAGCTACGTCCTAACTTACTTCTGTTACGTTTCGCTAACTGATAAAAAGTCGTAAACTTCTTATGACCATATCTTGAAGTTCTGTACTCACAACATGCATCTGTTCAACACCTTATATCGGCTAAATTATATACCTATCCGCCAAGCCCATTAGGGATTCGCTTTTGTTTGTTAGTGGCTCATATGTCATGGTATTTTGTGTATTTCAGTTCGCGTGTAGCGATGAGGTCGAGCGACTTCGAGTCTTCAGCCCCTATAGAGATCGAGAGTACAAAGCTAGCCAACCCTGAATCCGGTATCGAATTAGAAGGAATCGACGGTCCAGGCAGAAGTAGCACTTTTACCCAGCACCACCTGCTGCAGCAGCGGGCGAGCTTACGCCGCCAATCGCGCCGCCTTACACGGAACTTCTCGATCCAGCCTGATCTTGAAGCCAGCTGCGTACTTCAAAGAAGGCCCGACCCGCAACCGATCGGGCCTCTGGGCCACGGTCCTAGTCAGACGGCACTCCAGGGCTTGCCCGGAAGCTACTCTGCGCAACATTCGTCGGGCGGGACCCTCGACAGTAACAGCCAGCGGCGTCGCCTGAAGACGCGCTCTACAAGCGTCGACATCTACTCCACCCCGACGCGGGCGTCGGTTGCCACCCTTTACGCTCACCCTAATCCATATGCAACGCCTGAATACTATGGTAACTGCGGTAAGTATCCGCCTCAAGACATGTTACTCGGTTATTTTATAATAGTTTCATTACACCTATCAACGCTACTTTTATAATTAACAATAAACGTAGGACAGGCCTTGTTTTTTTTAATATAATAATTACATGGACTTTACTCGCTTTTGCTGGTCGTATTAATTGCAACATCTTAGCTTATAGTAGTTTTAGCACTACATTTCTAATAGAATACATCGTCATGATTCGTCCATTGGTTGCTATCGTTGTTCCAGATGAAGCCTGGCTCTCGGGGGACGAAGTGAGCATTATGAGTGGCTCGGCATCATCGAGCTGCTGCTGGACGACCGGCATATCATCGGGTTGCGGGGGTGGGCATTGCGAGGAGACAACGGCGGGCTCTGGTCGCTCGTCGTCGGCCATGCACGCGGCCAACTCGCAGGGGGGAGTACCGCTCACAGGGGGGCATGGGCCACATGTGGGAAGCCACGGTCCGCGTACACGCGGAGTTAGCTCGACGTCAGTTGTGCGTCGTTCGTTATCGAACGCATTAACCAGCCCCGCGTTGTCACCCTCAAGAACGGCCATGTCGTCGGTGCGCTCACGGGACACTGGTTATAGCGAGGGGACCTGCCGATCCAGTTCATCATCCAGGTAAACCTAATCAATTTTCACTCATCACTTAGATGTTTTCGTTAACTGCTGCCCAACTGCTAAATGATGTTGTTTATTGCAGCATACTGTCTATAGCTTCGAAGGGATATATAGCATCCAATGTAGGAATTTTACCTGACTTAACCTTTCTTTGGTAGACAATTGAGCTTATTTACAAAGTGATTTACTTTGTAACATTTGACATGTGGCTGATTAACTTTAATCATATTACTTTTTAGGCAGAGTTAAATCTGTTTTTGAGGAGCCAGTATTTATTACAGGATACAGAATTATCAGTGTTATTTTGACTACTCATAAACTATATACACTTACGTGTCTTTTCGGAAAATCGATATTTACTGCACGGAACTTAGCTCAAGTAGCGATCATTCGAGCACGTCTGGAGCGCTGGCCTCAGTTTCGGATGATGACGACGACGATGACGACGACGATGATGACGACAATGTGGTCGAAAATGAACATGTGTCCTCAAAGCAACAGCAGACGCCAAAACCTTCAAAAAAGGTCAGTTTATAATTACTTCACTATTTGCTCACACACGCCTAGAGAAGCTTTTTTATTTTCATATGATACAAATATTGCCAGATAGGCCTGAACGTATATGAGTCATTTAAAATATTTCAGTTGTACATGAAGAGCTCCAGCGTGGGTTAAGCAATTTTACCCAGACCGTTTCGTTATTTTGTGTCGAGCGCAGGTAGGTCGTACTAAGTCGTGCCCGGTGGCCACATCATGGCCCCAACGGCTCTTGGCCGTTCGCGACTTACAGGACACCTTGCTAGCAGTCCCTGCCCCGCTGGCGCTTCGTAGCCGAGGCGATTTTGTATGGCCACCGACAAGCCTTTTATCACATGAAACCACCCACGAAATCATTGGTGTCAGCGAGCAAACCCCTGTGTCCCTTCGCGAGAGTTCTACGCATCTGCAGGACGCGGGGTCGTCCGTGGAACCGTTGACGCCTCTCATCTCGTTGGCGGCTTCTTCCCAGTCGCCGTCTCCTGCTGGCGCCTCTCCACATAGTAATCCCTACTGCCACGACCGAAGTAGCCCCTGCATTGAGAAAGACTCGGTACGTGAGTTTATTCATATTCTATTATAAATAAAAGATATATTAAGAAAAATGTTGGAATACTCTAAACGTTATTATTTGTAAACGCTAAAGGTTCATAGCACTCGCTGAGATTCCTGTCCATTTGCTGAATACCACACCAAAAATTTGCCGATAGCTTTTTGACCTTAAGACTAGTATTTCTTGTTTACCCCGTAAGCTGATCTTTTCAGGCGATCGTTTCATAAAAGCTACGTTTAGCAAAATGGAAATATAGTTTTCTTTATCTTTTCATTACGAATTCAATCTTTTGCCTCAAATTATAGAAAAGAACCGATCCACTGGATGCTCTTCGTACTCCGCTCATCTGCTCCTGCTCGTTGACAAGGTCAATGTAGCTTCGGTGAAATTGGATAACAGAAAAGTTCTTTATTTCCTCCCCAACGACTTGACTTTCGTCTTTTCCTAAAGAACAAATGCTTAGACAAAGACAATGAAGCGTTTGAATCACCACAACTCTCATCCATACAAAAACATATATTTTTTTTCTGACTAGTTACCAACTTGAGAATTCAGCAGAACCGTAAACGAAGTGCTAGTTATGAGAATTTACATTGAGTAACAGGAAATTGTCTGAATGATTAATAAAACACATTTAACAGCTTTAAAAGGAGATTTTCGAGAATAAACTACATCCAAGTACTTCCCACATTTTCCTTATCATTACGTCGAAGCATGTTCAGAAGCAATTTTTTAAAGCCGTGTCCTGAATAACGCTCCGCCGTAACGAGTTCATGGTTTTGCTCTAAATTGTACAAACTTTTTATAACATTTGACAGTGAAAATATCCACGTATTACTTTATGGATTAGAGGTTTTTGAGAGTGTATTGCTTTTTGCGGGCGCACCTTATACTTCAGCACAGTGTAAAAGAAGGCTACACTTGCGCACACCTTTCCGCTACGGAAGCTTCGCGTTTTCATCAGCAGATGCAGCAAATTTTACCCTTTCATTGTAACTTCCTTTACAATCAAATAATATTTCGAATTCTAGGTCTGATATTGTCGTCACCTGTTGCAGCAATTAGCTTTTAGAACTTTTACGTCCGTCACCGTCGTTAAATGCTTCATCAGACAGTTGACTCCCAGCATGGGGGACTCGGTCCCCTGCTCGGATCCGAACCCACACCACGATGTATCAGACATCTCGTTCCCAGTGCGCTCTCTACGACCAGATCAATTGATACTGTTTTGAGGCATGCTTACCTAGGCAGGCCTCAGTTGTATCGAACGTACAGCTAAACAGATTGATATTGCAAGATACATTGTGAAATATTCGCAAAGACATTTTTTACTACGCTGTAACCATGTTTTGTTTCTACAAAGGCCACTAGTCCACTGTGTTATTGTAGCGTTGGGACGTTGACAACATGTGCGAAACTGGTATTATTCTATAATTTCCAAAAGTAAAGTGAAAGCACGTTTCATAGAATTCTCTCAATCAAGGCGTCATGGGTGGCGAGAAAGATTCATCCTGCCCGGGTTATATTGTTAAGAGCCACGTACGCACGCATGCACACGCATACATACAAATTCGCTTACTTGGTCCGTGCGCTCCTTGTATCTCGTAACAGAAAAAAGAGAAGGGGTAACCACAGGTATGCAATAACGTAATCTGAACGCTGCAGAAGCCTGATTACGCATATAGATGCTTTATGGTAGTGCAGCCGTAAAACACTGTAAAAACAGTTTCGCAAAAGCGACCTCCTAGACAGTTCTTCAATCAAGTGCGGCCCTTTTGCTTATATATTATAGTTGAATAAATATAAATGAAAGAGAATTAGTGTATATGACTGAAAAATATAGGATGTACAGCCGGCGTACGCGGTATATTTGAACGGCCTCATACATGAGGATATGCGGTTTTATTTAGGACATAGACTTTCGATTTACTCGAATTGGATACATCATTGAGGAAGTTTTCGCAGATATTATCACCGTTGTGCAGGCATTAATTGATTAGGGCTAAAGTTATCAAAGCAATGTTACGCCGCAAGACGTAGAGGATATCTAATACTGTCGTTAAGAGGTAACTGTTGATTTACGGAACGTGAAAACGATAGATCTAATCAGAAAAGGAAAAGAGTCACACACATAAACGAAATGCTTCGTTTCAGAAGAAGACAACATTTATATTCATATATATATAGACGAACGACAGAGACATGAGCTAAATAGCAATGAAACACCGCTAACAGAAAGCATTTAACTGTAGGACGCGCTTTGGGTATCAAATCTTTGCTTTGAAACACCAAAGTTTGATATTCGATTGTTGATTTAGACGGCTGATGCGTCTGCACTGATAGTTTCTTCCATAAAGTAGGAGTGACCTCGCCTATATGGTAATTGCGATTAGTTGCATCGAGGTGTCGGCGTGCCTTCTGCTTCTCTCGGCAAGGTCAGCAGACCTTAAGCAATCGCAAAAAGATTGTTGACCTAGCAGGCGAAGCAAAACGTAGACTTTTGATGCCGCTCAGTTTTTCAGTCAGTTCTTCTTCTAGCTTAGGCCGTCCAATTCGACGCGTGCAGCGTGCCTACAAGCATCGCTCTCTACCCCTTCCCCTATACAAAGTTTTCCGAGAACAGAAGGATCTACATCGAGTGCAAATTCAAATCACATTATTTTTAAGGACAAACCAAATTTCATGATAAATGGTGGCAGATGATGTTTATTATGCTCGTATCTTTGCCGGACTCGCTACGGTTATCTTTTTAGGCGATCTCAGAGTGCAGAAGCCCCCAGCTAACAGACCGCTCTCCTGTGTCCCCTTCTCTGACGAGGGCCCTCAGCACCGATACCCGATCGAACAAGGGCAGCGATGGATGTTCCACTGGAGGGACTGCTTCTCCATCCAAGGTAACCGTTTGCCCTCGCACACTGTACCTATGTTCCTAGAACTACTAGTACAGCACGCCCAGGCGGTTAAACGACATTAGGGCAGAAAACACATTAAGACGAAATGGGAGGTTCCTGATCTGCTTTTTGCTGCTTCCCCCGTCTTTGACAACCAACGTCTGATGTTTACAAGCTCAAAGAACTTGGTGGCTGACTGCCTCAGTATTACTCTTATAAGTGTTAGTAATGTGCTGAAAAAAGACACACGATAGGAGCTAATTACTGGACGTCTGCGACAATTACGAAATTTCTATAGAATTTACCCTAACTATAACCAGTCATATGTTATGTTTAAACTATAGATCTAGATAATTATTGACTGCGCGATGGAACGTTACAGCCCATAGAAAGGAAGAACAGAAGCAAAGCAGTCAGAATATGCGTAGTAATCAAGTAAGAATACTGCTTTGATTCGAGTGCAGGTTCTTTCAACGAATTCAAGTATGGAAAAAAGGTCCGACTCTGAGGAGGGTGCTGACGGACCTCGGAAACCTCAAGAAGATCAGGAACGCTGCACCGCTGGTGACAACGCTAACGACGCACCTCCAGGCGGACGCGAGCGCAAACCGTCGAAGACGTCGACAGATCGCGAGTCGGACCGTGAACGCGAACAAGCTGGAGGCCGGGAAAAGCGCCTCTCGTCATCCACTCCGACACTCGGCGTTCAACATTCGCTTGATTGCGACTTCGGGGATAAGCTGCACACGGCCAAGGTGCGCTTGAAAATATACTACTAATCATAGCATCGTATCTATGTATATGCACACGCGTGCGTAACCACGTGTACATCTAGGTAATGCTTAGCAATATAAGACGGCTCGCGTGCAGGAGGACACGAATTTCTAATGAACGATGAGCGTTTCAGCAAAGCTGTACTCGACCCATCCGAATCGTCGCGCTGATTTCGAGTCGATAGTCAGGCTTAGGTACGCTTACATGCTAGATTTTATTCGTATCGAGGATCTCCAGTGGAAGCCCTTTATGTCCCAGCCGAACTAAACGTCAGCAGGAGTGTATGAAGAAAGCATTGGCACAGCTAAATGATGTGCTTTTTTTTTTGGTATCGTCTTATTCTTTTCGCTATCGATCCGCGCGTTGATGCGTATACGATTGATGATCGGCTACAGCCCGAAATCGACGAAGGCGACTATGGAATTGGACCAACGTATAAGAAGATGAGTGAGGCAGAGTATCTCTCCCGCCTGAGCATCCATGATGCCGCCAAAACGGGCGACCTACATGTCATCAAACTCCTGATTCGCCGGGATAAGAAACGAATGGAGTGAGTATATAGTGCAATAACAATGCGTGGCTTGTCCACTAAACGGGTCATTTTTAGTTTGCAATACCCTATTAGCCACCAAATACTTCTCCATTTCAATCGAAAAATGTCAAATTCCCTTAAGAATATATATAATCCAATCTGGAACTACGAATCCCAGGTTCGGATTAGTTGGGCGCGAGTAAATCTCATTTTCAAGAACTTCAAGAATTTGTCTTTCTGATTGGAAAGGCATAGGCTATCTCGGGCAAGCTCAACGCATAATGTCGTAATTCATACGTTCCCGCGTTAGATTGTCAATTTTATTTGTTGCTGGTTTCAGAACTGTGGACGAGCGGGGTTGGACTCCACTACATTTAGCTGCCGCGAACGGGCATACCGACATTGTAAAGGTCAGCAAATTTGACGCCTTACTATGAGCGATTTATCGTACCTCAATATATACACAGTGTGTCGTAAAAATCAAATCGACAGCTGACGTTCACTTAGCAATATGTTGCACGACCATTGTATGACAATATCTGGCGATAGAAATAAGTGAGAATCCGTAGCTGTGTGCGAACAGTGATACCGCAACTAACCTTAGTCCAACCTCAACGTTCGCCCTTATCGCCGTGGCCTTTGTTTTCGATGGCACAGACCTTCGCCAATGAAAAGATCCCACTAGCTTCCTCACGCGCGGGAATCCATTAGATGAAAATATGGAGGACATCCAAATTTTATTACTATATCATTTATTAAAATATTATATGAAAATCAAGTGTGGCCTGCGGTTGGCGAAGAAGTGCATGTGATACTGCAACTGGTATCTGACAAGGCCCTGAGCCTTGTCAAATATCAGGTCTCGCTGCCGACTGTGATATTGGCTGCAATGGTAGTTTAATCATATGTGATGACAATTTGAATTATTTGTGTGGTGTTTATTTTTCAAAGCTGAACAACCATATTCGAAGGTCGAAATGTATCGCTACTAGTGTGCATCTAACACGAACTGAGCAGTTATGGCCCCAGACCTCTGCCGGAAGCGACAAGTATTTTTTCGGATCTTAGAACTTGAAAGATCTATCGATAGAATAAAACTCAGCTCATTTCGAAATATGTACCTTTCAAGTCTCTCGCTCAGAGTATAACTCAACTCCGCCTTGTGCGACATGTGTTTTTGGCAATGTCTGCAATATAAAAACAATAACAAAGGTACCATCGTGCCGTAATGACATCCGGTCGTTGCTAGTAGCCTAGGAAATCTTAAGGAAGGAACGTAAGTGCTGATCTTGGCTGTCAGCTGGTTGCCGAACGCATTTACGATATATTTATACTAGCGGTACCCAGATGGAAATAACTGCGAGAAGTGAATTTCTGGAATGGCATTTTATTGCTTTTATGCTTCGGAAGTTACGTGGTAGCTGACTTCGCGGTACTTCAACATTAGATCCTGGCTAATCTCATCCATGTTGTGTATACACACAGTCTCCTGACGACACTTAACAGAAGCTTCTACTGCTAACACATGTTGATTTCGTTAACAGTACCTGTGCAGTGAGGGCGCACATATACGCGCGTTGGACCCGACGGGCTATACGTCAATGCACGTAGCGGCAATGAATGGAAACGAGCCGTGCTTACAGGTCCTTCTTAAGATGGGCGCTGATGTAGATAATGAAGCCAGTGACGGATTCACACCGCTACATCTCGCCACTCTCAAGTACGTATTGAGAAATAAGGGTATTCGCAACGATCGACTAGATCGTACTAGATAGCTTGCATCTCTTATTTGTTTCGTACGACACGCTTGCTCCATATAGGATACGCTGTTTCGACTAGGCAGCCTTCACGAACAGAAATAATGCATCTTCAGCATATGACTGAGAACTTTTGGAAATGTATAGATTTCCCGCCTGCTGGTCTCTGCAATCATAAATTTAAATACTAAGCTACGTTCTTGTTGTGCCAAAGTACAATAGATTGGATTTTATTTTTAGCCGCCTACATTCAACAGCCGTTTTTCATTATGGGACAGGACCAATTTTTCGAAACGCCCAATCGTCTATAAGCTTCTGAATACATTGTTCTCTCCGAATGTATTTCAGCTTTACGAAACAAACAGAACAATGATGCATATAAAATTTTAAAGGATTTCCTAATGAGATGTGATCGATAACGAATCGTCTGCTGCCAACTTGTGCTCAAAGGCGAGACGCCGTTCACGGGTCGAAAAGCCAATACGGAATGCATCAGTTGAAACAATCGTATCTCCGTATTACCGTTAGATCTGTTGGTAGCCGTCAGCCGAATACGCTTCTGTAATAGATACATACGTTGTTAACGAGAATTTCAACTATCGTTGCCTATATACACTTTGAAACACAATGTCCATTGCAGTACAAATTCGTAAATTACCTGTACATAAGCTCAGGATGTGGACAGAAATCGTTGACGTTATGTGGGGTTATGTGTTTTTTGTGATTGTCTGCGCCGTGATTGCGTTCGCAGCAACCACGCTGACTGTGTAAAAACGCTGTTGGCGTGGGGAGCAAACATGGGCCGTGAGGACGCACTTGGACGTACCATTCAGGATATGGTGGAGGAATACAACTTGGAGGAGGTTGGGACGCTTCTTAAAAACATTTGGACACAATTTGAGAAGTACCGCAAAGCAGGAAAGGCGTAAGCAGAACCAAAAAATTTCCATACTGTTGGTACTTTAGTTATGGTACATTGCTATTGGTGTATGGGTATGGGATTAATTTTCACTATGCCACCATCCATGTTAGTTTCCTCTAAATACATATCATATTATTATCATCATTGATCCACTTCGGTGACAACTGAACTACCCAAATGGGCTTCTTTTTCTACATTAGCTAACAATTTTGCACGCCTTGTGTTTTTATGCTTTGCAGTGGCGGGAGCCGCAAAAGTCTGCGCAAGTTAATTCAGCTGGCGGCCTCTATTGTTTCCACATGTAAGGACGAGACCAATGTCTAGCGGGCCTGTTCCCTTCAGAACAGCTAAACCCACTTCCGTCGGCACGTCCACTTAATCCACAGAGAAACAAACTAACTAACTAACTTCTGTTCAAAACCAAAGAAGCCTTACCGTCCAATACCCACCAACGGGAAGCAATATTCTGCTTCTCCCTCCCTTTTTCCTTTAATTTACCACGGACCCACTGATAACAGCAGCAGTGAATGATGGCTGTGTAGTGATTCGCTAAAGGGAGTCAATAAAATCATCCGTTTTCTTTAGATCATTGACTCATTCATCCTCATGTTGGGTGGGTGATGATCTTCTTGTTTGCCAATAACCCTCGCAACACATTTTTTTTTCATTCGATGGTTGTGAGTGCCGAACTGATGGCGCGTTAGCATTCATTTAATTTCGAACGGCCCACACGCAGACATGCCCAGTTCCATACTTAATTCATCTACTCGAATCAATCGCACACATGCCCAGCCAAATAGCGCATACGTGACGGCTGAAGATCAGAAGCCCCTCTTTCGCTCCTTTTCATCGATTACGGCGAGCAAGTTGGAATTTTAAGACAAGGCCATTGATATTTCCTGAGGAAAAAGTTGAACTCAACACTACAACCAATCGGGCCTATACTCAGTGGTCAGTTTGAATTTTCGTTGAGGTCCACGAGTCGTAGCGGCGACAGATTTTTGAGGACAACTAAGGAGCAGTAATGGAACATAGCACTTCTTGATATGAATTAACCCTGGGAAAATCAAAGCGGGCACTCGAGGAGACCGCGTTATGCAGATGCACAGATACAGTGACGATATGAAAATGCTGTAAAGGATTCGTTACAACGGAACCATTGTTACCTTTTTGCCCCGTCAATTGAATAGAGAGAAATGCAACATCACTTATGCCACGTACAGGATATTACGAGCGACGATCCGGCGATAACGTTACAGCATAGACCTGTGCAGACTTTCCAGTTAAATAAAATTTTCCTTTGCCTGATAATGGTAATAGCTGAGTATCAAATAAGGATATCTGATAGACATTACCGATAATTAAAGCTTGATCGGATATCAGCTCAAAGTAACTGATCGCAACGACCATAAATGTAAGGCAATAAAGTCCTAAGTGATACGTCGGGTTCAGCTCAGACCAATTTATGGAGCAAACTTGTTACTGTCATTATCGCTGTTGTTCTATCATACTAAACAGTTCGTCATGATGACGAAGATGCCTATCGATAACTTATTACTAAAACCAAAATATTATGACAATGAAAAAGCTATTATATATATACGCTGACATATCTTTGTAGACATTAGCCAAGGGGACGTGGGAAAAAAACTGATTTTTTTTTTACAACGCCCTTTGCTAACAGAAGAACGTTGATGAGCACGATTGCAGTTTTTGAACAGTAATTGATTTCATAAGTATGCCAATAGCAACGTAATGAGTTTCTATATGCGATCGCCAATAATTGCACTAGCATTCGGGGGGCATATTAGCCATCAACAGCAAGATACTTTTTATAGATGGAGGAGGCCCTTCGACAACTACGCCCCAGCAGCTTTCCAGCAACCAGATAGCCCCTTCATATTTCATACAGCGAACTCTCAATGTACCGAATACCGTTGGCCATTGTTACCGTTCTGTCACTTGTATATATAATATCATAGCAATAATAATATAATTACTTATTTACGATCGTTGTTCAAGTTACCACAAATATTGACAACGGTAGTAATCGAGCTAAGTAAATGTGTGACGTTACGACCCATCGAACGCATTAAAGTACGGCAATAATCCTGAAAGGCAGCAATACTTACTAATCTTCGTCATGATCATCATATTCGGACAATGAAGAAAACAAAAATTACCAATCAAATCATACAAGTTCATTATTATTGGAGTATAGGCCGCCTTTGACGAACGGGAACTGCTTCAATTAATACCAGTAACGTATTATAATAACTTATCGTGACCTATAGCCTATAATAGCTGTTATACTAGACATTATTATAGGACTGAAGTGGCTGTTCGATTCTAAATAACCGCCAGACTATCTGATTTTACCAGCAAATTCTATAGGAGTCAACTTAGACTTGAGTTATGCTTTGAAACGTGGCTCTAATTATTGCAACCGTCAACGGAAATGCATTTAGTTGATGCAACTTCCTTAGCCGTTCTTACGTATTCCTTGCTTCTAATTTTTCGTTGGGGAGATTTTTTTTCGGAGGCTGCTGCCGTCGTTTTGTCGCGCAAAGCCCATTTTCGAAAAGGAGAAAGGAAAAAAAAAGGAGTATTCCGTAACAATATATGTTAATAAGTAGAAAAAAAGATCGACGAAGAAAATCCACTGAAGCGGTTTTTATAGAGGTTCGTTGGGAAAAAAAAACGCAGAAAAACTCTAAAAGACTACTGAAACATAACGCGATTTGGGTCTCATATTTTTATCACGGGTTATATATTTTAATGTTCTATTTTGTGTCCCCTATCTATGAGTTACCGCTTAAGCTTTTTCTGTTTGTCTCCCGATTTTCCCTAAATTGGATTCTAGTCTATGTAGTCATTTTACCTCTAAGGGAAATTTTTATCTCATGGAAATGTTCAAATTGTTGCATTGTACAGGGTAAAATTTGGGGTCTTTTTAAAGCTCTCCGACCGTATATGACGTTCGCTCACCAGCAAATGAAACTTTAACCGAAAAGAAAGAGGTGAACAAAAACGTATCAGTCTATTATCTACATTTTCCTTGAACAGTGTAACTGCAGACATATAATACTACTATACGTACGTAGTAGCTACACAGATGTAGCTGCAGCGTTTTTTTGGAAATGATTTATAACATATGACCCCACCATAAAATTCTGCTCACAAACACCAGGTCATAGGTACTGTTCAAGATAGCTGGCTAGAATCGCACGTTTTTCATATTATATCAATTCTTACTACTACTACTACTACTACTACTACTACCTACCCTAGGATTTGTTGCAATGGCTAATTATTTCACCATTGTATGACAGGCACGGTGTCACGACAACGACAGCTGAGGACACACCTTTCGATCTTTATCCACTGAAAGCAGATAGGTGGTATACATATATAGATATATCACGTATCTATATATAGATAGAATAACTACACAGTTGTAAATTGTGCTGGATTTTCTGTACGTAGGCAAGAGGTAAGGAAGGGATTGACAAAAGTTCAACTAAAAATTATAATAATCTTCATCATTCAGGTCCTCGCATACACGAGGTGATTATTGATTGATGGGAACGCAGACAGCAGCAACAAGAAGACTCACATATACACACGAATAGATTACCAGCTATTATCCAACCCTCGCAAGATATGTTCATAGCCTCAACCGGTGACTCAGTGAAATTTCACATACGCCACGGCGGTCTATCCGCTACGCGTGCTATATAGATCGCACTAGTTCAAGTAAAAATCAGATGAAACAAACGGTGAAGAAGTTTATACTTCTTGCCGTTCGTGATGATGTTGTACGTCGCCGGCGGGTTAAATCACAATAAGCACATTTTTAATGTGCTTATTGTGATTTAACGTACCGGTGCATCCAGTAAACGTGTTTAGCACATCATTTACTGGATACACAGGTAAGTCGGAATACCGACCCAAAGACCCATGTATAATATCTCGAGTCGTACTGAACATGCCGCTTTACAACACGACACCTACGCTAACTAATTTCGTTTAGAAATAAACACGAAAAAATTGCACCCACGGTCTATCAGCTTAGCGGTCGTCCCGTATCGACACTTTACAAAAAAGCTGCTTAATAACTAATATTGACAACTAATTATCCTAACAATGAGTACGACCGAAGATAATACTCATAGTAAAACAGCAACAAATAATAAATGAAATATATTCAGTCATAATAATCGATCAAGTACATACAAAAAAGCTAAAACTGCCCTTTAACAATGTTAAAACACTACGAATCACAGTCGAAGTCTTTTACTGATGTATATATATATATATATATATATATATATATATATGAATGACTTAAAACGAACTAATACCATATCGACTTATGAGGTACGCGATAACAGGGGAAGAAGGGAAAGACACTCGTAAAAATTGTTATATACGACAATGGAGCGTAAGTTGCAGGCTCGTTAAGAACAAACAAACAGCCCAAGAAAACAGGAGACTAAAAAATAAGAAACAAACAAACATAGCAGACGTAATTGATGGGGCGGTATGTACGAAAAGGCTCAAAACATTTTACAGCATCAAATCAAAATATAAATTTTCAGTGCTTGGTCCTCAAATTTGAGCTGGGTTCTCGCGAAGGGACGTGCGAAAACGGTTGCGCCCCTACGAAAAACGTCTCAATGCGGTCTTCGCAGATAGAGTTCCCACATGTTTTACATCTCTAATAAAAGCGGTTGCGAGTAAACTGCAAGCCTAATATCAATCACATTATTTACATATGGGCACAGCATAAACAATATAATTTCACCACACTTCATCCACGACCGCATCCGCAAAGCGTGACCCTGTTTCATTTTACACAATCTCTGGATTACTCCCGTGTAGACATAGGCATATAAAGAACTCCTTCAGGACGATCATTTCTTGTCGGCATCAACTTAGACGAGTTAAACTACACATATACACACCCACACAAACCCAAATATGTGCCCATATCTCATCTCGTGAAAACCTTCATGATGATGAGTAAAGGTCCTCGAGACAAACACAAATCGCAGCCAATGGATATAAAATAATTACAACGATAAATGACGACGCTAAGGTCGAAGCGATCGTGGTGGCGCACATCTGCACGCGCACTACCCCTCGAAGTGTTTTGCTAACTCGCGCATTCAAACTTTCACCCCCGATTTACAAATAACTACAATCAAATAGCCAGCCGTCGTAAAAAAGTCTAGTCCTTCTTCGGATGGAAGCGCGCTAGACATGATTAGATAGATTATACGTCGACGAGACAAGACAAGACAAAAGGTGTACCCTTCTTGTACACATCAAGTTAAGCAACGGTGTAGCAGCGAAGGACGGTGTACATAGTATAGCGTCATGTGCCGAGCTCATAAAAAGCACCTACAAACGAAATTAAAAACAATAGCCAGCCATCTAACGAAACAATATAGACAGGATATTGAACCATGAAACGTGTTACGAAACCTCCTATAGAGCGATAGTGAGAAAAAGCGTCGAAATTACTGATGCGCGTTTATATGCCGGCGATAGAGAAAAAAACATTGAAAGACGTCCCACTGTCGTTGGTGTTGGCACTGTTACATATATGAAATATAACTTTTTATAATATATATATATATACATCGATTGAAGTAAAGGTTCAACACGATTTGTCGCTACTGCAATCTTTGCATCAAGTATTAAACATGATTATTAATAAAGCACTTTTGGTCATTTTCTACTGTTAATATTGCTGATTCTCTATATTTTATAGGGCTATAGGACCTATACTGTAATCGATACATGACGCTAGAGTCAGGATGCTATGGGGCTTCGAGAAGTGGAATTTACCAAACAAAGCTTATTCCGATTACCAAAGTATATTTATTAACGCAGCTTTAGATGTTGTATTTGATGTCCCTGTTTTCGACATGTCCGATAATAAACATTTCGCTAACATGGCGCCTTATAGCACGCTGCAAGCAATTCTCCAATGGGGGGACCCAGTACCGGGATCTTCCAAGACGATGTTCCTCACCCAGCAGAAGAACAAACCAAAAAAAAAAAGCAAGCTTGCAGAAAAGCATGCGAACAACGACGTTGGTTACACTGAATTTTAGTGCCATATTGCATTTCGAATCGACACGTTTGTTGAAATGATATTTCTTAATCTATTAAGCCTGGAGCAATAGAGATGTCCCTTGCGACTCTTTTCAATTTGAAGAAGATGTCCGAGAGTCCAAGTACTTGTTGGTCTCTCCGGAATGAAAAACGACGAGTGAGTGAAAGAAAGCTCAATTACATATTGAAGCACCGAACGAGTATCTGAAGATGAAACACTGGCAGCTTTCCGATTGATCGAATGACTATGTATAGCGCCAGCCATTTGCAAAAATTATTTCAATTATTTTCACCATAAAGGGCCCTGGCACTTTCAGACTGAGTTTTGCGCACCCTCTCTGGGTTTCCTGCGCACGGGATTCCATCGCGGTATGGCTTCGTCCTTAATTGGCTTGACCGTTGGCTTCGGAGACGGGATAGCGTTCGGGTCGTGGTAAACATCCCTCATAGCTAGTACCTGTAATACGTCATCGAATATGGATCATAAATATTTGAGTGTCATTTATGATAAAAAGTACGTAGTAACATTTTAAGCGAAACAGCTAAACGCTGCTAGATAACTTGACGCAATACCTCTCGTCATGTTCAGTTTACGCGGTCATTAGTTTAAAATCAAAGCTAGTGGTGGCGCAATGATGCTGGACTGAGCCATGCGTCAAGCAGACGAAATATTTCTTCGGTATACTATTCCGGGCATGACAATGTAAGAAACGACGAGGCCAATACTGCATCATAAATCAATCGTAACATAAAGCCCAAGCATATGTCAGAGCCAACGAAGCAACTTTCCACAGTAAATAAAAGCATTAATATGAGACTCACAATCATAATTATCATATCATAACGTAAAGCGTTATCATGCTGTATTTTTTTTGCCATAGCAGAAATGTGCAGAACTTTCTATAGTTATTCATAACTACGGTGACACGGTGCACATTAACAGTGGTAACATAGCACGCGAACGATATACGTTTCAGTGCGTTACCGTGCCGACCATGAACATTCAACGAAATTTCTGCCATGGCACCTGGTTGCTATGTCATCTGCTAGAGAAACTTCAGATAGGTCCAGTAAGATTCAGTCTGATTAGAACTCGTAATAGGGCCTAGTTCTTGATACCATACTGAGGATGTGAGGACTTGTTCACACCGTGGAAGTTGTTGAAGGTGATAGAAAGATTGCAACATGCGCCGATCTAAGCACACGTCTAACATCGGAGCTTCGAAATTCTACTTTCGACGTTCGAACTATTTCGCTATGCACATATTTTGCCCTTTGGGCCCTATGGAAAGAGGGACAGGGCCAGCTCGTGATAGCCATGGAGCAGGTAATATCGCCTCGCAGCTGTTACCACTGAGGATAGGTCATTTCTGTGCAACTATACCCCGAAATAATCCGCTTTTACAATGGAATAACATCCTCACTTAAAGCGAAGATTAAAGGTCTCTGTCGACGATATTGCATAGCTCCTTCACTTCGCAGACTGAACCTATCTTGAGCAACACAGTAAGCTTAGTCAAAATCGAACCCATCGATTAGAAGATCTAATATAATGCTCAATAGTAGAATCGAGAGCAAAACGAAATCAACAAAAAATCCACGTCAGCGCTGCGTACTTTACGAAGGTTAGCTTACCCGAAAGCCTTTCTCATCAGCAATGTACTCGATGGTTCTGGTTCGTCCATCGGAGAGCGTTTGCGTGAACGATCCTCGTGCTCGCAGTCCATCACTCACCTCGCGATGCGAATGGTGGCCTCCCTCGTTTTGTGCACCATATCCATACATATATGGAATCGGTGCATGGTAAACAACGTTCTCTTGTGACTGGCTGGCCAACGACGTGACGCGACGTTGACGGATCCGTCGACACTCCTTGGCACGCGTGAACGACAGGCAAAGCAGCTATGGCTAAACAAATGAGCTGAGCATCGCTAACTGCTAAAATTTCCACACTTAACTTTACAAGTACCAGATGGCATATTGCCCCAGACGCCTCTTCAACATCTGTTGTTTCAAACGCGAGTGTTAATTTTAATATGCAGCACAGATGTCAGAATAGGTAAGATAAAATGCAAGGGCCTAATTATCAGCGCTCTTTTTTAGTCACCTGATTATAGCAACGTAAACCAACCGAGCCTGCCTCGAATTATGCCTCAGCTAGCCATATGATTGCAAAAAACAGTAGGCTCGAGCTAAGCGGTAGGCACATATTCTTTAAAAAATATCCACTAAAGAGCTTTAGGGATTACAGTAAGAGCCGCGGCCTATCTGGATCCGACTAACGAATGTTGTTTCAGTATTTTTTCTTTAATGAGTGTCGTGAGTATATCAAAAGCATTCTGAAGTTATCGTTTATTCGCTAGCTCAGCCCGTCCCTGAAAAGATTACTGCAATCAACTATTCGGGCCAACTCTTCCATCCATAACGTGTCTATCAAATGTGAAATGAAAAAAAAAAACGTCATGTTTCTTCCGAAGTAACGGCTGTTTACGTTAAGAGTGCTCTTTGTAGCTCTTTGAACGCCTCATAGATATCTTGAGAAGGGGATGATTGCCTTCTTATCCAAGGGGGTTTTTAGAAGTAGAGTGTCGATTTCTCGCATCATCTATTTACTGACTCAGGTTAAAACACAATTACACGAGAATGCTGTCATAACGACCTCATTCTTCATATTCCGCCACCTGTAGACTGCCTAACGAACTGGATGTTGACAGGAGTACCAAAGCACCTTTGAAGATATCCGATATTGGGTCCAGACTTGATGCGTGTATAATGACTATTAAATGCCGCACGTACGTAATTGTAATCACGGAGAGTCAGATCAGATAATGTTCAGATCTATTAAATGACCACACGCAGTACGAAGGCATGACTGATACAATCAAAATCTACCTCAGATCAAAGCATACTTCGCACGCTGCTCACTTACATGGCTTTGCGGAAGAGGGTAGGTATGAAATGATCCATGTCTTTGTACAAATCACGTTATGTCGGAAACCGTCATTACGTTATCCTAATTTTACCTTCCGTACAGTGCGGTAAATTTTGCCGTGGAGTTGTCAGGCCATTGCGCCTTCGTTACACTGTTTGCTCTACGTGCCGATATGACTATATTTTCCCTTGCTTACCGAGTTCCGATTTTGATTCTGAGGTTATTTGGGAGTTTATTATTATTACAATAAACGACGACTAGACCAAAATAAGAAGATTAATGAACGCCAATTACCTACGGAAGGATCGTGTTTCGTTAACTAGGGAATCTACTGATATCATGTTTATGATGGCACTCGATGTAGCACCGCTATTATGACGACCAGAGAAAGTGTAGAAGCAGTTTACTACAGAGCTAAATATAACACGCCTGTATCGTGACCATGACAAATGTACTCAAGCTACCTTTCTTAGCTTCTATGTACGCTGTCGTGGAAAGCTCAAGATATGTCTTCACAGCCAACTTGCTTGAATTGAATGGCTGTCTTGGCAAGCATAGCAACTTCAACAATGCAAATGTTTCTACCCATTGTTTGCATCAGGTCGAGCCTCACATTCTTCTAATGACCGATTAAATCGACTATATATCTCCTAAGTGAAAATTAACTTGAAGATCGTTCATTTTCGGTTATCTGAGTCAAAACATACAACAGAGTCGTCTTCCTAGGCCGTTCAATGTCCATTCTGGAGTGGGCGTTCCACCACATTTCTCCAAGGGAAGTTTTCCCAAGGCATATTACTCGTTTGAATAGCTTGATTATTTTTCGACGATCTTCTCGATGCCCGTTACCAGCTTACGAAAGATTGATTTCAAATATCGTCTTTCCATAAAGTTTTTTCTTTAATTTTCGCATTTTTACTATTTAAAAGTAAAATGATGATTTTGCCGAATTTGTTAGGAATTGATGGAATATTTTAGTATGTATAAAAGAACTTTTCTGGTTCCCACATAGAAAGTGTTAACAAACAATACGATATTTTAAGCATTTATTCAACAAGGGGTGTAATTGTGATTTCTGATTGAAATTGTTGGAACTCAGGTGAAACATCATGGTGTTGCCGGTATATGACTCTTTCGGTTTTTACATAGAGGATGCAAGAGGTATAGATGTTTTTTCGTACGCAAATCTATCGGAAGACATTTTCGCTTGAACATGAAATTTTTTTTGTTTCAGACAGCGTTACATTTACTGCAGTGCCTTTTACACGACTTCGTTTATGTCTGCGGCGCATATTTACGTTGCTGCACACGAAAAGAGTGAGCAAAGAGCGTGTCGAACGGCCAAAAACGATAATCTAACATTGTTATATAATCAGGGTTGCTGTTCAGTTGTGTTTTTTAATATAATACTTTTATGTATAGCTAACGGCATTTCCCCCCGCCTATAAACATGCCTTTTGGTCTATATCTGCTTTAGGCTCAGATGTCCATCCTTGGACATGGCCTCGGATGCAGACGTATCAAAAATCGTTATATAAAAAAATCGATTGTTTTTATCTGTTGGGCCTGACTATAATCTGCTCTCTCTGTACGTGCTGAGATTTTATGGAACACGTGCATTGCTTGCGATGGGAAACCATTCAAAAGGCCATTGCGGCACATTGATAGAGGGTCACTGCTGTGAACGGGTTCGTTCTGTAAACACGACCGGGTGGTTGGTGACTCAACGAATTATCTATCATAACATCAATCGTCTCGAGTTCTGTTTTTTTCTTTCCTCAGTTCAGCTGCGTATCGCTCACTTAAGCAAAATTCTGTTATAGCAATATAATCAAATATAAAGCAAGGAAACGTATATTGTAGTTATGCATGAAAAAATAACCTAAAACTATATGTATATCATAACCTATATTTTATATAGGTCTATATATATTTATTTAGGTTTAGGAAATCTGTGCTGAGAACGTTGTGTTACGAGCTATACGAAGTGGGGTAAAAGTCTCGTGACGGTTACAGTATAATATTTATCTTCGTATATATAACATTTATGTGTCTTACATATATACATAGAATATGTATGTGTGAAGCTACATTCAAGCCAAGTACCCCGTATTGCCTCCATTGTATTTGTTGTATTTTTGCCTCCAGGTAATCGTTATTTACCCCATGCCGAAACGGTCATCGTCAAGCGATAGAAACGCAAATAGGGCAAAGAGAACCGCTGAATCTAACAGCACTTTCATGACGACAGAACGGCGTTGCACAGATGATGAAAGCAAACAGAATGAAAAAGCCGCAAAAAACAGAATCCACCTCACGCTGACAATGGAAGATGTAAGCAATATAAAACTGACTGATGAAATGAGATTTGTTATTGCCAGTAAATACATACATTCAATGATAGAATCGCCTCTTTGTCGTACGTAAAACAAATGAATTAAATAGCATACAACACGTTAGAGCGCTATACGAGTCGATGCCAGCTTTAAATTAACAACAGACATTGTCCGAAACAATTGACAATGACTTCATTTAGCGTTATTACAGAGCACCGACTTCCTGAAGAAACCCTATGATCCCTCATTAATTTTGAATTAATAACTATTGACGCTACGAATCCTTTTGTATTCGATGAATCCGCAACACAACACTGAGTGCCGCGGACAGGACTTCGTGAATAGAAACTAAGAAACCATTTCTGGGAGAAGCACAACGCGATACATCGTAAAGGTATGAAGATGATCCACTACTACTAAAACAGACATAACAAAGGCCACTCCAAATCATGCTTGTTTTATGGCTACCTACAATACCGAGCCATCGGGTGAAAATAGTTAGAATCAACGGAAAAGAAAAACTAATATATCATTATGATAATACAAATTATAAGTCATGAAGGTCAATTTACTTACTCACTGTGAGCACGCTGTCCTTTTCAATGACACCTCGTCGATATGGCCACAAAGATTGGATCTGAAGATCTATTCTATACCTGAATAATCAAAGGTCTCCCTTGTAAGAGCACGTCGTGATCGTTCCATAGAATGCCGGGCTTCTGAAGACCTTCGATTGCCACCTCGGGGTTTAAATACACTCATCATCAAGTATTAAATTAATTAAAGTAATAGTTAAGATTACCACACATAAGGTAAGATAAAACCACACATACAAAAAAGTGACGGAGCTATTTTTGAATTGGATAAACCCCAACTATAACTAACCAGTAAATAAAAACAGAAGCATCTAGCTTCCCGATCCGTGCGCGATATTCGTTTATCGAACGACTATATCATTAGAAAAAACACTTCCACGAAAAAGTACTCACATCAGTGAGAGAAAGTAAGGAAAACCCTCGGGAAAAAACGCCGTTCATAGCTTTTTCGCAACTATTACTAACTTACGCGTTGACGTACCCAAAACTGGGCCTGGGCCAACAGTAACTAGGACAAACGGAAGGCGAACGTTTCTCCACAACAAACTAGCGTGGGAATAAAGTCTATTACTCAAGCCTATTAGTTCATCATCTGTGTAGAACGACATGCATGATCTAACTGAGAAGGCATAAAGGCGTCCTCTTTACATTGCGGGATCCTCGCTTACACACTGGGCGACTTCTGGAAGATGAGCATTAGCACCAAACTATAGAGGATGCTGAACAAACGAAGATATTTCAGGGAATCCGAAATTATTTCTGGGTGTTTAAATTTATTAAACAGAACTTTTTCAATAACAGGACGACTCAGAATTATTGCTGTAAAAATCTGCTGTCAAGGAAGAACGTTACTTTGCCTATCCTACCTTTTCATCATGATAAAGGTATTACATATTTCCAGGACACATGAGCAAAAAGCTAGGAGATTCGAACCAGACATCCAAAATCAACAAAGTAAACGATAACGCTGACATTCTATAGAAACCCCTACACAATATTTGTAGGCAAATAAAATCGTGTACGTCCACGAACCACTTTTAAATAAAGTTCCACGAAGATGTTCGGTTGTCTAAATAAAAGTAACAATTTCAACGCCCCAGAAAGAGCAGGTACGACCTTCACTAGCTGTTTAATCGAAACCAAAGTAAATAAAAGTAAAAAAGCGACTATCGCAGTAGCATTAGTAAGAGCCCCGTCAATTTCAATGTTCAGAGGCTGAACTGCGTATTCCCGCTTCAGCACTTCCGTGCAAAAAAAAGAAATGCAAGCAGGTTCTTTTCTTGTTGACTCTTGCCATTAAAAGCCCTATAACTTTTCAGCTTTGAAGTTTTTTCGACACTGTTTGGAAAAATCATGAGGTGCGAGTAGCCTTGTAGCCGCGGAGCCCCCATATGCCTCTTTGACGTTGTCGGTAACAGTTTATCTATCTCTATTCATATCTAAAAAAATATAGTGTGTAACTTCTAGGAAAACTCAAAAACTGTAAACGTATTTTCTGGCCCCATGATTAAACGAGACGCCTCGAGAGGCGTTGTTTGGACGCTCCCTAATATATTCGGTTAAAGCTTACCTTTCGGATTAATTTTAATTGTATGTTTAGGCAAATCATGACACCTACTGCCAGTTGGTGAATGAAATAGCGATACCGATGATGCAGACCCCTGTATCAAAGGCATATCTGTAGAGACTCCAATACATACAACTTCATCACTAATAATAACTGAACGATATTGACAATCAACAACTTGCAATCGTTTCTAATACCGCTAAAAGTGAACTTCGAAAAACTAATCTTAGCGAAATTACAGAGACAAAAAACAGTGAGACAGGATTATATGCGCGGACCCCACCTACCCCACAACAACAGAAAAATCTCATACTCGATTTTGTAAGAAGCCCATCTTAATTGCTGTTTAAAAAAGGTTTAAACATTTCAAAGATTATTATTTGTTCAGTCAATTAGCGAAGTACAAGGACAAAAAATGGAAGATCGAAAGATTTTCATCTCTCTTGAAGACAATCAATTTAAATCAGGATCAGCCACACGTTGCTCGCAGTCGCGTGAACTTGAAGGTTTGCCTTAAAGCGAGCGATAGAAAAGATAGCTAAAGTTCCTTATTCGTAATACTCTGCAATAAAATTTTAATAGACAATGCTGAGATTTTTTATTCAAAAGAAAATTGGAATCAGAAGGTTGGATCCTTTTCGACGTTTCCTCCAAGCCACTAACAAAAAACAGCACCTAATCCAAGATGAAGCATCGCAGAAGGACACGCCAAGATATTCGAAGACAGCGTTAAATGTCACTTATCTAATACAATTAATCAGCTTTTTCGGGTAGAAGCTTACACCTGTTTAGGGCCCGTGCAGCTAGACAAAAATGTGTTTATCGGCGATAAACAAAAAGCCGTTCGACCTGTACACAGTACCTGTAACCTGTACACAGTATATTGCTACAGTTGAGTGTCTGTCTGTTTATCGATCTGTGCGTCTGTCCTAGCTATTAGAATGGCCACATTGAGCCGATTGTTTCTAGGCTCTATCCTGAAATAAACTTAGTGGATGATAAAGTTTAATCGAGTGTTTATTTCCTTGAAAATAGCTCCTCTCTCCAAACGAGATAGTACAATGCTAACTAGTTAGGCTAGCTGGTTGAAAATTTGTCAGGCCTTACAGAATAGGCCCGCAGCGGATTAAGGGAATCATTGTTAATTGTTCATATTTCTACGAATTACTGACAAAGTAGTGATTCCTTCCGAAATAATTGGGAATCGATGAAATATTAGGCATCTCTGATAGAAGAAATGCTTTTTCGGGGGTCGTTTGCCATCAATTGCTTTAATGAGCCAATGGACATTTGGAAGCAGATTGGCAAAAGTAGAGAAAAGGGAGAACTGTAAGAGAGTATCGAGATTACAACAACATTCCGATAAGACAGCGAGAAGAATTGTAGGTTTGGGGTCTGGGCGTGGCAATCGCGGCCCAGAGGTTTACTTCACATCTACAAGCGACGTCTAAACTCGTTCGGGTCTATATCGAAGCTGAACTCAGTGAGCAGCAACATACATACAAGTGCGTTAATGGATTAATCGCAACCAAGTAACGAAGTAGCTATTGGGTAAAAACGCTAAAAAAAAATCATACTAAATCAATGAACTAGCTGTACCAGGAGCATCGTTCTTTGGGCGGTAAATGCAGCCTGATAAGTGATGCTAACAGACTGTCAGAATCAAAGAAGTATAATCTTGGTCAACATTTGGCTGGAGCGTTCTGAACTATTATTTCAAAATTGAGGAACAAAAATACGTGTATTCGTGGTATGCTTTTCACCGAGCTCGCGCAGTATTCCTTCGTCGTGCGTTTGTGCTCCTGACAGAGGGCGCTGTATTGTACTCGGAGTGGAGGTGCAATTAAGCAGTAGCACATGTTGAAATCCGTGTCAACTTCATTCATATTATAACAGACTGATAAAACAGCTATGAAAGTAAAGCGCGAAAATTGCAGGAAAATGACATTTGACGCAAATCCAGCATATAGCTTAGATCAGCCCAGAGTATAACATCATAACGCATCGAATCAATGAAATCAGCAAAACAAAACGCGCACCGCAAAGGCCTAGGATCCGTTTATTTATCTATTAGGCTAACTAATTTTAGTCTATCGGTGTGTGCATGTGCACATGTCGGTGGAAGCTTGTGTATATGGCTGTGGGATGGCCACCGTACAGAGCTGACAATGCTTTATATGGAAAAAAATGTATTTGTTTTTTCAGTCCGTACAAGACAGTTATCGTGTCTTCGTCGTTATTTGGGAGTCCATCAATTACAAACCATCCGGACATATAATAGGGATTCTTTAAATGTAAGAATACTTGCCAGGATAGTTTTTCCTTCGATAGAACGTCGTTTAAAAATGAATCATCTTATCGTATGATTCATCTTTTCGAAGAAGAATCTCAAGGTCAAAGTCGGCGCATTCTCTTTGACAGCCGTAGAGAATTTACGGAATACCTGCTTGAAGAGTTACTTTTTAAGAAAATGATTGATTTGAAGTAAAATGAAACTGCGAAATCGTTCGTCATTGGTGGAATACGTTAACGAAACGAATGAGTAAGGCAAATTACGTGGAACATTATTGCTCAAGAGCAAATAAACGGAAAAGCGAAGTTCCGGGGTCAAAAAGCAGTTATGGTTTTACTCTGTATTAATGGCCATTAATCGACCACCGGGCTCAAACAGGTATACCGCGGCTTTTTGTGTTTTCAGCTTACAGGCGTAACGATGGTCCTCGCCTAACGTACATTCGTGGAAAGTTTGGGAGCGGATTTATTAAAATGCCGAAACAAAAAAGTGCAGGAGAGTATGGGAGTAGCAGGAGTCTCTGCAGAAGGACAAGACTGACTCTCCTTCTCTGCGGAAAGGTCTGAACATGAGCGCGAAAACAACTGAAACAGAGCAAGGCCTTTGAACAGCGCATCACTTTACATATACATGTGGGGCAACATTTGTCGCTGTGACGAAATAGCTACAACAAGATAACGAAATCTGTGCCACAAGTTCTCAGAAGCATTCTAGTCAGAAACAGTTCTAAAGATATAGGCTTCCAGTCGGAGTGTGTTCCATGTTAGACGAAGTTCAGGTCCGCCCCCCAAATAACTGCAAACACGTAACGGAACAGCGAACGCAGGGTGATTGCATACCGGAGTTAGGCTAGTTTGAAATCAGGCGAGCTGAATTAATCAGTGGTAGAATGGACGCGAGCCGAGCTCAGTATCTAACAAAACTCGATCGGTTAATCCGCATCGGTTTGTGACCTGCAAAGGTTGAGATGGGGGGGGGGGGGGGGGCTAAAGGTCCCAAATGATGATAAGCAACGGAGAGTGGCATGGCACGGCACAAATCTTATTCATTGTCTTCAGTGGTGCCTCGATATCAAAAATGTTGCTGTGAAGTATATAGGATAGATGACTTGCGGCGGCGGCGGAAGAGGCCCTTGACACAATGTGTGGTATTGTGATGTACTGAGAAGCTCATAATCGCAACGCTCGCCGTGCGCCATCCGGATAGATGAAAAAAGCTAACGTGCTAGATTAAAGCAGAGCTGGCTGTTCCCAGCCGATTGTGTCACTAGCATAGCTCAATAGTGACTACAGTTCTTTGTAAGCCCAAGTCATTAGAGGGCTGCTTCAAAGCAAGAGGACTACTTTTTACCTCTGTCGCAATAAACGCGTTCGTAGTGATGAAAACATTCTGATAGCACAACAAAGGTACTATTGCATAGATAAAGCTGCGCATTTCGTACTTACCACCACAAGTGGACAGATCAAAACTATACCAGTAAAACATACGAACAGAGCTTTTAGGTCCATTCCCACTGTTTTTCAATTACACTCCTAGATAACAGTAAGCTTGTACCGAGATACGAAAAGACGACTACAGCGATATTTCGCACTTGGCCATTTCGAGCAAAGCTACTATTTCAAACTGTCGGCCGTATGTAGTGCCACACCGGGGTCATACTATTTTAAAGTATCATTAGACAACAGCTTCGGATCGATGGCGGCCTGTCGAATCAGCGTTACAATTTATCAGTATCGCCGACACGTTAAGGAGTGAGGATGCTTGAAGTGGCAAGTGCCGCTGCTGAAAAATCAGCCGGTGATGTTCAGTCTAACAACGAATGGGACAGTTATAAATAAATATATACGAACATATCTATTCGATCAGCTCAGCGTAGCGGTACTACATGTTACACGGCTAGTCGTTGTTTCGATATAGTAAGTTCATAGTGCGCTGCGAGAATGTTATCTAAATCGGTCTCCGACGTGAGCGGAAATTTAATCTGACCACGAAACCAGCATTGAGACAGAGACCTTACCGATGTCGTTATAATAGAAAGAATATTGGTAAATAGTTTTACCATTTATCCGTTTTATGATTCAGTTAAAGGAAGCTCACAATGTATCCTGCGCGAAGATATTAGGTATCCCTCTAACATTCACTGTTGATATGGTGAGTACAAAACGTACAGCGAGTTCAAAAGGTTACGCAGTCCATACCAACGGATATTCATTGAGGAGCGACAAATCCTCAGGACATTCTTTGATCAGATATTGATAGGCTTTTTCTTCCCTATTTTAACTCGTGTACTTTTCTCAACCAGTGTTTTTCGTGCTAGGTCGTAGGTGAATATTTAGGTTTGTACGAAGACGCGCAAGGGAAGATTTTCTGAAGCTAGATTAGGCTTCTAGAGAGCGTCCTTCCTAGCGACTCCTTCCGTAACTTATTAAACGTTACACATATAACTTGAGTAACATGAACGTTTGCATTCTACTGACGTAGCGCCAACAAGTACAAGTAAGTTTCCACCCTAACGAACGGTTATCTTAGAAGAACGTTTCCATTTACTACACATAGCGAAATTACCTTCCATCAGTAATATGCTGCTCAATATCGATTGAAACAAACATATTTGTTTTTACCTTTAACATAGTTTCATAGTTTCTTAGTTTTGCTTTTTTTAATTATTGCGATCTAGCTTGCCAGCGTTATGTAAGTAGGAGGAAGATAGCCGTGTTGTTTACAGACAATTTACAACAAAGCGCTCGCAAACGCAAACAAACGTTTCGTGTCTTCATCGTTAGTTGCGAATGCCATATTATTACATTGCAATTCAGAACCAAACGAACATCTGGGTTTTTTTCCTATTTACACACACATTGTGGCCAGTTAGCTAGCATACTCGTCCAATGATCCTGTATGCAAATTTCAGTCCATCTCACCGACTGTTTCCACGTGACTTCTGCGTGGTCTCTGTTACACTGAAACACCGCGAATCGATAATTACGCTCTATACTAAATGGAACGTCCTCTTACAGCTAAGTTTCTAACATAATTAATGAAATAGTAACGTAGCTAAGTTCTTTTTTAGGGACAATTCTTTTTTAGGTCATAAATAGATTGGATCGAATGAAAAATCGATAGGGCGTTTTGACTACAACAAATTGAAATCCTTTTATCCGATCATAGTCTACAGTTCCACTCCAGTAGAATTTCAATGAAGGCCATATATACGTAAGTATAGAAGGATATTTTTTTTCGGTAACGCTTTCTTTCTTTACAATCGTAAGCAGTCTCCCGGCGTATTTGTAGGTCCTAATTTATTTGAAACATTTTAATGCAGCTCCTGGCAGAAATGATTTCAATGAAATTTACTGATTCTTTTCGTCATGCAACTGGCACTGTAGATGGTCGTCGTTTTTAACTACCTATTACCTGACAGAAATTTCGCAGAGGGACGCACTGCCTGATTACGGGAAGCGATAGAGAGCTTTTCTTTGCAGTCGCCAATAGCTCGTTATTCGAGCTTGTTATAACGGTTCGTTACTTCGAACGGTAAAATCCGTAGACTGGTACTCGCGCTTCAGACAGAACATACGCAAAAACTATTATACTCAAAGTATAGCGGAGTCACTAACAATTGCCAAATTTGACTGATTCTATTGTAGAAGCCCTTGGGTAATTAAGCTCGCGTGTCTTTTGGGTTACCATTTCCATGCGTTTACTTCATTAGAACCATCTACAGTGTTGGCAGCTTACTTGCTTGAGAACGATAATATTCACTGAGCTACAACCATGCAGAGAGCTAAAATCAGAATCATTTAAACAAACTACGGAATCTCACTCAGGGACTGAGCCCAAAATTCTGGACGCCGTGGAATTAGTGTCTGTATTCCGAGAGCTAAGAATCAGATTTTTTTTCTTTTGCTATTTTTTTAGGAATATTATCACCTATCAATAGGTCAAGATTCTATTCAGCGGTCAAAGGTGATGCTACGTTAGATACACGATCAAGCAATTCATTTAATGGTACAGCATCTTTGAATGTTATTGCCCAGGTAAAGATGGCTTGTATACTAGCTTTTAGTATTATCATTCTGATCACGCGCATTGATAGCTACGTGTATGCGATAAAGCACGTACGCTAGTGGTAACAATATAAATATTCTGCCTCGTTCGGGACCTTGAATGGATAAGGGGCATCCAACTGGCTTTTACTTGAAATATCGCGTGCTTACTAGAAAGCATATCCGCCACATTGACTTGAACGCTGTGTTAGCGGACTCGGGCCAACATCTCTCATCCACGCACTCTCTTCTAATTAAGTTAAGAATTTTTTTTTTATTGTAGACTGTACGACGTGGTGACAAATCATGTAGTATAGACTAGGAATTCCTTGCAGGCCCATGTTGACCAGCCACTCACTGTTGCTCCCCAGTGCCTGAGAACCATACTGATATCGTTTCAAACCATCGCTTTGTGGTCCAAACGTTTTTAATACATTTTCCTTCTGACCTAGTCAGTAATATGTACTATAAATTTATTCATATGATCAACATACTCCATATCATGTTATTTATACCGGGGGAAGCAGTGGTTTCGTCGCAATTTAGTAAGCCACTGCGAATCTATGGAAACTGTCTTTTTCATTTTTCAACGTTTGAACAGAAACACTGAGTTATTGTCAAGGTGGCACACGATGGCTACATAATGGAAAGACCGGACGGCTTATTAGTTGCTCTAGCTCTTGTCATAACCTACGTACACCTACGTACACTATTAGGTGTAGGTCTTAGAAAGAGTCCAAGTATATTGAAGTCTGACTGCTTCCCGACTGAAAATGGAGAAAGATTCCGTTTTTATCGCTTTAGCCATCTGGTGCATTGTGTTACACAGCAGTGTATTGCGAGCATATGAGGCATCACTTAGGTACGAAAAATCACCGAGAACCGCGTCGTAACCAAGAACGCTATGTTGTCATAAAAAACCAATTATAGTCTTCTCTCTCTCGAAGAGGTTGACGGCCCTTTTAATAAACAAAACTACCAAGCTATTCTCCGCCGTGTTACTGTGCGTCGGTGTTAATCCAGCCGTACTTGAGCCTCGTTCCAGCTAGTTTTAACGGTCCAGCAGGCTTCGACTGCTAGTTAACTGCAATTTCTGCCCTCGGGCAGCATTCCCGTCGGCAAATAGGAAGTTGTGGGAAGAGTGAGATACAACATTCAATATGGGGTAAAACATCATGAAAGGACAATGGGGATGACCCTCCGGAGTCTTTGAGTAGAAACGATGATCTTTTTTTTTTATGAATCGCATCGCCGCATAGATGAGGTACCGTAGCACAGTGGCTGTCTCTTTTGCTTCGATAGTTCTGCTTTTGTACTAGATGAAATATAGTAGAAACTATACTAATAATAGCTATCTTAGTGTAGGAGTATTTCCTTTTTTGTAAATCCTCCTACTGTTATTGCTCCAACCCAGCTCGGTCGCGTTTATTTGTATACGCACAGTCGGCGCTACCTTGAGATATCGCGAGACGACGAGTTTACAATGGCAAACTGTATCTTCCATCTGCTTTCCTAGCATTATATTACTGCCCTTGATTCTTGTCTTCGACTTTTTTTTGTTCAATTTAAGAACTTGTGAAATTTGTGTGTGTGTGTGTGTTCGTGGTCGAAACGAGTGATAAAAAAGGGCTGTTTATGCGTCGACACTATACTGTTCTGTGCTGAGTGCAACATCACGAACCCATTTCCTTCCATCCCCGCAGAACGGCTTTCTAAGCAGGATGCCTTACCATATACGGTGGTAGAGAGTTTTCCGTCTGTTCGTTTGGTCGGACCATTGCGTCGACTCCACAGGGCCGTCCGGGTTTCTCTTTAGGTTTAGAGTCGAGACTAACGCCACAAAAAGAAAACCCGTTAAGAGGATAGCATTTGAGTAAAAGCTTGAGCAGGTAGCTTGATGCAATAGAATGCGATGAGGGTTCAGGATTATCTTTTAAGCAGCGCAAGAGATACGCAGCGTAAAGCAGACGACAGGAGGGATGCAGCGTGCCTGCGGGAAAGACGGGACGCCTATTCCTTTCTAAACGAAGCCTAGTCACAGGAGCAGGGGCTTTTAACTTCTCGTCAATCAGCAGCTACAAAACACGAAACATCTGGAGGGCTGCGAGGTTCGCTTGGTTACTCGAAAGACCCAATAAGCGAATAAGGGTGGAGAAACAAAAAAAAAAAAGGAATGAACATAGTGAGAGTACAGAGGAAAGAGAATGGCTGGTTAAGCAGCTACAAAGAAAGCGATACGTAGCGAGAGACGTAGAGGCACAGAAAACAGGCGAGAAAACAAAGCGTGGAAGGCGTGGTGGTCCGCTAGGTTCTGTAGGGACACGCTGGTAGGGATAACGAACTGAGATACAGGACGACGAGCAGGGGACGGACGAAATTGGGAACGGAGATTTAGGAAAGAAAAAAGTCGGAGAACATTCCTACACTTTGTCTGGGTATGTTTGGTTTCCTTACGACCTGTCTCGAGAGTTACTCGTTCGACACTAGCCGACTGCCAGCGGCAACGGACAATAGGGGCGCCAGCGTCGGGTCAAACCGAGTCAGCTCGTGCCAGACTTACACTACTGCAGAAAAATGCGCACCGCGCGGAGAAGAGCACATAGTTGAGCTTGGAGAAAATGGTAAGAGGCTGGCACGCCAAGAGGCATGAAACGAGGCGTTTAGATTGAATTGTCACGTTCCGCATGTCACTACTTCTCCCCAATACACGGTGTGTACAACCCCATCTCCTTGTTCTCGCAATAGCAACAGCGACAGCCACCTAGTCAGTCGGAGTCCTCCGGCTTTCGACTTGGGCTACTCAGCTCAGCTCAAACCGACCCACTAGAGGCCTGCCCAAACGTCGGGCAGAGGAAGAGAGAAACGGCACACAGCAAAGAGTCGAGCGCCGAACGAAGGCTAAGCAAACAGGGTCCTCACCTTCTACTGGACTGCTGGCTAGCCGCCTGCTGGCGCATTGCGTTTTTCCTATAGAACATAACCCCATGCAAGCAGTAAGAAAGCCTTAAGCAGTAAGAAAGAGGAAGATACTGACCCACCGGAAGAAGGAAGTACCGAAGACGAGCGTGCTTGAGACTGACTTAGGGGATGTGTGTGGCCGCTAAGGCCTGTTTCCTTCAGTTCTCTGAAGAAGAACAGTGCATCAGGAGAACAAACTGCTAAGCAAATAGGCGGGCGGGTAGGAAAATGGAGAGGCACTCTGTGCTATGGCGGAGGCGGCTGGCGGCCAAAATGATTTTCGCCGCGTGGACCAGAGGGCGCTGGCGTTTGGCGAGCGACGGCTCCTCTAGAGGACGCTGCTTCCCTCCTGCCCTCCATCGTACCGTTTTCTGAGCTGTCTGCCTGGCTTACCAAACGCTCTCATCTGGACCTAACCCTCGGTGGACACAGAAAATCAGCCAGCCATTGAAGGAAGCGTCGTGCTCCGTCATCATAGGATGTTCTGTCTGTGGGAGGCGTTTCTGGTGGCGGAAGAGTAAGTAGATAATTTTAATTTAAACTAAAACATTTGACAGATTTTTGTCCCGTAGATAAGTGTATTCGGCTTAGACCACCGGCTAGCGCCAGGTTACCGTGACCCTCACGTCCCTGAAAAGGGTCAGCCAACTGAACCGCTTTTGCGATCCTGTTGCGCAAAAAAACACTGAGAGGTCCATAATATTTTATTCTACATTCTAGGCCCCCGCCCACTTAAGCCAAGCGAGCACATTTTGTCATCTATACTCGTCCGTTGCAAAGAGTAACGGGTTGTTGTCTACGTTCGCATAGACGAGTACACTGTGACGCACACTTGATGTATAGATGTAGCAGATACTTAAGCTTCCCTTCCTTTCAATATCCCACAATAGTTTTCAATCGCGATTCGTAATCCGTAGTCAGCATGGAACTTTACCCAAATGAAAATCTAACTGCTTCTGTTCAATCCTAAAATCTATCCAGCAACGGAGCATAGCCGAAACGCTAGTTATGTCAATTATTTTCTTCACATGGTACAGTGCAGGCAAACTAATATACGAGTTAAGTCGTATCACACCTTTATCGTTACTCTCGAGGGGTTTAAGCAAGACAAGAATAGCAACGAGTGGATTTTTCACGGTTTTGATCGCCATGGCCATCTAAGGATGTGTGCACGCGCGCGCTAAGCACAAGCGGGAAGTATGGCTATGAACTTGTTCCCTTCTACCAGGGCACAGTCTGTTCACTGAACTCAGCAGCAGCGGCACCAGCAGGTGTCGCCATTTCTGGCAGCTCCAGCACCGTCGCTATTAGTGCACGCCTTTACCATCTGCGTGGCCGTCGCCCTTGTGTGTCCTCCACGTCTTCTTCCCCTTCCTTCAATTCAGCTGTCGATCCTTGATCCATCCGCACCCTTCGTTCTATGGCTTCATGGGTGAGCTTTCCAAACGTTTCTCATGGTCCACGGCAGCTCCTTCACAAAGTTCTCAAGCGAGTCGAGCTTTGTTCTCCGGTCTGTTCGTCGTTTCGTTCCCCTGTAACCTGATTTGGTGGGGCAAACATCCCGCCCTTCTGCTCGTTTCTGGACGTCGCTGCCACTACCCCTACTGCTGGGCTCGAGGTTACCGAATGTAAATTTACTATTGTTGCTACTTCTGCTACTTCTGCTGCTGCTGCTGCTGCTGCTGCTGCTGCTGCTGCTGCTGCTGGTGCCATAACCACGATCATTTTAACTACTGGTTACAGTGAATAAACCAAACGAGTTAAGGGACTCCAGCGCTACAATCGTCTACGGCTACCCAGACCTCTACACCAGTGAAAAAAAAAGACTGTCGCTTTTTCTTTAACTCACTCGTCCCACGCGTGTCAAGTCGAAAGATCTAGGAGGTTGGGATACTTTTCCCGTAGACTTCCCTTACAGTCGGGAGAAAACAGCGAGGTTGTCATTACATAGTCGCTTTTCGTCGTTTTCTGTTATTCCCCTTGTCGATTTGATGACGAATCAACGGCTGTCGAAGAACGTACTGAGCCGTACGAAGACAAGCGACGAAACAACTCGATTTTCGAAGCCTTGAAACGCGCTCTTTGTGGTTCTGGTGCAGGCGGCTGTTTCCATTTTTGTGCCGTCATCGACGCTGAAGGGTCAATCATTTGCCTTGCTTGGTGTCAGCGCGCAAGTGCTTCTACTTGGCATCTTCAGATCAGCCGCTGAGACGAACGTTTGGCAAATATGCACTCAAAAACAACACAGGGAATCGACAATGAGAGGGAAAGGATAGCGTTGCCCTGAGAGCAATTATAAACACAGTAGTACTACCGAGTACCTCTCCTGAGTCACTAAGAGGTGCAGAAACTCCAAACAAATGCGGGTGTTGGCTGCAACGTTTCCATATGTGTGCATGTAGAAAACGCAATGTATTATCGCGAAATGATCAGGAAACCCATTTTATGATGATATGGTAAGCGTGAGTACAAGAGAGCAGACTCGCGTAAAATATAGGTACTGTTTTTCATGCACTTTTTAGCTGTTCCTTATGCAGCCTCAAAGCCACGTTGCGATGGTTTGAAACTGTATTTATTAGTGAGTGAAAGTAAGCGAGGAAAGAGGAAGTAGTAAACACTTAAGCCGCTGCCGACAGGGTGAGTTGTCATAGGACCTCCAATTAAGGATGCTTGTTTCAATTGGACAACAAGCTGACACATGTCCCAAGGCAGTGTTACCCGTAGATACGCCAGCGAGGCCGAACAAGTAATTAACCATACGGCTGATCTACCAAGCTGGTCACGGGCTTGTTTTAACGAACACAGAACAGAGTGCGCCATCTTACGCTAACTCAGATATAATATAAAGCTTTAGATGCGTCCTCAAACTAACCTGCCGGAGCTGACTACCACGTGCCGCTGACAATAGCACATCGGCCCGGGAGGGCCACTAATTAGAAAACATTATACCGAGGTGAGATTTGGGTCTCAGGGTCGAGTACTTGAAGACCTGTGTTCGCACTTGCGCCTGATAACAAACCTCTCAGGGGAAGTTAAGTTACGTCACGTGTACATAAAACCGCTCGCTACACGCCAGCAAATAGCTCTCATAAGCTAAACTATTTGCATTTAATAAATTGCCATTATATATTGATATGAAGACTGAGCAATTACGCACACACAATATGCTTTTTTCCCTATCCGCTTTAAGGGCGTATTTTTAGCTTCTTTGAAAAAGTAGAAGCGATCAATGTTGTCTGTTCAAAGATTGAATGATGTATCAGGCAAGCGTGCCAAATCAATCCGTTCGACCTAAAATCGTTGACGGCTCCATCACCGACTTAGCGTATAGCGACTGATTCTCGATATTGACGGAGAACAAAGAACCAACTAGTGCAACACGTACCTGAAGGCTGTAGCCTTATTTTACTTCCAAACCCATCATTCCAGGATACGGTTAAGCGGACGTCAGGCTGGATGGGTACAGAAAAGAAGCCCCGTGGTTCTTGCGCGTTTGCTGGAAATGCTGCGTCTTCACTCGCTCCTCGAATCGGTTTCGCCCTTTATGACAATCCGGATTAATTATTGAAGCAGACGGCTCCAAGCGATAACAGAGATGTTATTCAGTTACCGGTGGTGCTGGAATGTTTTATCTTCGTTCCAGATCGGCTGTTGGCGACTTAGTGTTTTCTGTCATATGCTGCCACCCCTTTCTAAGCCCTCAACCCATTCAGAAGATCAGCGCGCTGCCGAACAGACAAACAAATAGAACAAACGTCAAGAAAAGTTCAAGCGTCACTGATATGGGTTGAGTCGCGATTCGTTTTTGTTGTTAGACTGGTCGACCGTCCGAGCGGTCAGTTCGTTGCAGTACGATGAGTACAAAATTAGTCGTTCGGTCTTTTGTTGTTTGGTAATTGGTAAAAACATATGCAAAACGCTTTTTTAGGTTAACAGCGGCTGAAAAGCGCCGGAGATATACGATTATCGTAAGACATTGGTAAACACTTGAATGTCCACTAAGAGGCTCAGCATACGCCGTGTATTACGAAGTAAATCCTTGAAAAATTTCTGCAAGCAACGAATGAGATTTATACGAGCACAACTTCCAAATCCTCTACCAGTCTGAACTCACTGACTACATCAATAGATTTTTGTTGGGCCTGAAGCCAAGTAGGTGAAACCAACTGGTGCTGCCTGCCGTACGTAGCGACAGTCAGTTTCGATAAGATGATTACAATGACGGTGTGCCTATTAGTATAATACTAAAATTTCAACTTAGGTTGTCGACACAGTACGGTACGACAGAGTGCGCCACTGCTTATACCAAGTGATACTACTCATATAATTTTACTATTTGTATCATCTACAATAAATGGGAAAACCTATCTCGAAATGTAGGCCACTCAATCGCCCTACGCACGACACGCAGATGAGACACCAAATTTTTTCCGACAACGACGTTTCTAAAGTCATATAGCAACGTTGGTGATTGACAGCCTTCTATTTCGACCCTTCGGGGTTATCATTACATAAGCCAACTGTAGCACGTTCTGACCTTGCTGGTCCTTGGCTATGAATGAACGGGTTGCTTGTCTATTTGCGTACAGGTCAAACAAAGGTTTGTGTATGCGTGTCGGTCCCCGAGTCTGATGTGAAAAGCAAGCTTTATCTTGTACAGACTGCCAGTGACTTAGTCTGCATGATTCCGAATATATGTCGTGAATTGCTATTACTGCTTTAGCCTCGCTAAGCGTTTGCCGGGATGATAGACCGAGAGACGGTTCGCTAGTGGTACAAACACTGCTGTGGCCGCTGTAGGGCCGCGTGCTACCGCTATCCACTAAGCGGTGAAGCGTGTTGTGTCTTGTTTACTGTACTACATTCAGTCTCAGGACAGAAAACCCTCTCTCCTGCAGGCGGCTTGAGTTCGCTGTACCTCAGCCGATGTTCTAGCCGCGATGCTCTCAAGAAGTCAGCTTCGTCTGAGGTGCCACTTGAGGTAAGGTCAGCCGCCTGCCGCTATGACCCTATACGAGCAGCAGTGATAGTGCTGGTAGCCAAAAGCGTTTGGGAGTTTACTATTCGAATTCGGCTATTGCCATTTCGTGTGTCCGTACCCCCTCATTTTTCCTGATCCACCCTGCAGCATCTTTCCGCTCTCCGTATAAGGGGCAACTAAGTGTTAGTGTCGACTGTCTGCCTGCTCGTGTGCGTAGGTGTTTGGAGAAGACTTCGTAAAGGGAGTTCGGTTGTGACGTTCCCAAGTGCCGTGACGGCGAGCGCTTAAGCGATTAACCTGGGCTAGGCTTAATGCGTGGCAGTGCTGTACTGCCTTGCCAAGGCAACCGATTCGCTATCTGGTCGACAATAGCAGCCGCAGCAGCAACAGCAGTACCAGTGGCGGCTAGTCGGGAAGCCGTGCCGTCAGCTCTCAAGCCGCCCTCTAATCAAGAGTCCACAAGACCCAGCCCAACCTGCTGGCAGCCTGCCGGCAGCCTACCGATTTGCCTGTGCCTATTTGCTGGGCGGCCAAGGAACCCACAACCCGTCCCCCTCCCCTCCCCCCCAGCCAGCCAGCCAGCCAGCCAGCCAGCCAGCCAGCTTAGTCTACTCAGTAGGATAGTGATTCGCAGCAGTCCTGCTCTGTCCTGACGCAGTCGGTAGGTTTTCCCGCAGGCAATGAGGCGGCCGGTCCAAGTTGAGTTGACCCAGTGTGAGCACCCAATGAACGGGTGACTTAACTTCTGAATCTTGCGTATTTCTTCTCCCGTATTGCTATTGCTACCGACTGCTATCTCGGCAGCTGGCAGTGGCGCCACCGTTTCTGTTGATCTTTTTGTTCCGTTTTGTATTGCCCTATTGAATCGTTGCTGTATCGTCTAGCTCTGCCGGAGGAGGGAGTAGTGACCCCGCTGACTGGAGTGACAAATTAACGATAACGGTAAAAGAGATATTCGCATTTGTTCCCTAAATCATTTCTTCACCATCGTCTCATCCACTCAGCGGTTTCCTTAGCCATCCGCGGCCGAAGTACATTGTTTTCTTTATGCCTGCTTATAATGATTCCTCGTAGAGTGCGCAGAACATTTAGGTGTGACTTATGTGTACTACAAATGCATAATATGAAAGAGAGAAGCATGAAATTTTGCAGAGAAGCGATATAGGCATAGTGAAATAATCCGATAAAAAGCGCTGCTGAGTTTTTAGTGATTTTTTCGGCAGATAACTTTGGCGATGGATCAGGAGACTCTGAAGAAAGCTGCGATCGCAGTGCCCGCCTTGGCGGTGTTGTGCTATCTTATTTACCAGGGGTAAGTGGTACCTGGCGCCTAATGTTTGGGCCTCCAATGGTATGACGGAAGTCTAGAGAGAGGGACACAGATACAATAGCTCCCGCCTCATGCAAAACGCTTTCATCAGCGAAAGCGACAACACCTTTATATTCGTGTAAACTGCATTCGCTACAATTTGTTGTTGTCTGTTGCTGATAGGAGCGTCGTGCATACATGCGAAAAGAGTATCCTTGCGCAATTAAGCGAGTACATAATACGATAAGACATTTGTCCTAGTCACGCGAAAAATGCCAGTGTAGTACGAACGTAAGAATGAAAGGCAACAGAGTAGAGAAGTCGGCACAGGTACCATTGTACCGGCTACGCGAATAAGCCACTCCATTAGATATGTCTGATCCTCTTTTTCCATACTCGGAAGTGTTTCTTTGAATGCTGAATGTCCGACGCTGTCGTCGAGCAGTACACCGACTGTTAGTAATACGCTGGCATAAGACTGCTGTACTACTTCCAGTAAGCTCAACCACCGCTATTAATAGACGGTACGCAGGCTAAACATATTGGATGCTTTAAATACGTAAATTTCACATTGCACAAGGCAAGTTGTAATTACAGTGAGTTGGTTAGTGAAGTAAACGGCGACGACTAACATTGATTTTTTTTTATTGTGTTCTGTTAAATAGCACCAGCGCGCTGAAGGCATTTTTTCCACGGAAGGAAGTGCCCCATGATGTAAAAGATAAACTACAGGCCGGCTACCAGAAGCTCCAAGCCTCACCACAATGCAAGTCTTTGCTAAAAAAGTATCTGACAAAAAATGTGCTCGAGAGTCTGCAAAGCAGAAGCACTCGAATGGGTGCGACACTTCTCGATGTCGTGCAATCCGGGTTTGCCAACATTGACTCGGGCGTCGGTGTTTACGCTCCTGACGCTGAATCGTACAAGATTTTCGCTCCTTTGTTTGATCCCATCATTGACGACTATCATCAGGGATTCAAGCCTACGGACCGGCACCCACCTTCGGACTTCGGCAACCTTGACACGTTCGAAAACGTCGATCCCGATGGGAAGTTTGTCATCTCCACACGTGTACGTTGTGGACGCTCTCTGCAGGGATACCCGTTCAATCCCTGCCTTACAGAAGCAGTGAGTGTACAGGAATGCTTGTTATAACTAGCATTTTGTCCATTACTAAGTAAAGCGTGACGTAAACGAAATGCGTTGTTTTAAAGGTCGTGTTCCCCTTATAGCATTATCTATGAAATTCTCCAATAATCAGCAGTTGTTATTCCTTGATTTGCATCGAGACTTACAACAAAGATCATTTCCTTGGTACGATTGCCTCTTAGCAATATCGAGAAATGGAGCAGATTGTGTCTAAAACCCTGAAAGGACTGACAGGGGAACTTAAGGGTACATACTATCCCCTCACCGGAATGAGCAAAGCTACGCAACAGCAACTCATCGACGACCACTTCTTGTTCAAGGAAGGTGACAGGTACGTTGTAATTATTTTCTTGAAGCGATTGATCTCGATGGTGAAACTGATTCCACATTAGCCCTTTGTCGAACCGAAATCTCAACATACAAACATGCTATCTATGTTTTTTCCATCGAGCAATGCTACGATTGAATATAAATTTCGCTAATTTTCTACCTGTACCGTTGAGCAGATTAACATCTGTGACCGAGTAACCTCTTATGATCTCATAGTTGTATTTGCATGCCTCGAGAAAGTATGTTTTGAAACGTTTTGACGTTTGGTTTTATGAAACCACTGGCTCTAATCTTGAAAGGCCTACTCAACTCATCGTATGCTTATTGTTGACCGACAGTTCAGCAATTCCGATTGTTTTTATCTTTTTGAGCTATCCAAATACATCAAGTTATTTGATAGCTAAACCGGCTCTTGTTACTTGTACTAGTTGTATTATACTAGATATTAAAGGAATACCTGATATTACACTTCATTATAACGTTCACTCAGCATCTGACTGCTATCAACGCTTGTTCCAGATTCCTACAGGCGGCGAACGCGTGCCGCTTTTGGCCCACCGGACGTGGCATTTACCATAACGATGCGAAAACATTCCTTGTCTGGGTAAATGAAGAGGATCATCTCCGGATTATTTCTATGCAGCAGGGCGGAGACCTTAAAGAAGTTTTTACCCGCCTGGTCAATGTAAGCGCTTTCTCATTGCCTGTACCATATATACGATTTTTCATCGTCTGTCATGATAGCTTCCATTATGTATATGTTGTTTATTAGTTAATTTGTTGTGTTCGGCATATATTTACTATTCAGCGTCACATATTTCGTGCGGGAAAAAGTTAACTTACTTAGTCATACGACCGTGCAATATACGGCCAATTAAACCGCTGCCACTTGCATAACTTGACCTTCCGTGGCGATCATCTATACTTGTATTTTCTCGTATGTTTATTTTGGGCATAGTACCCTCTGTAAAGCTTACTTCTGCTGCCGTATTTTAAACGACATTTTTGTAAAAAGGAAAATGTTCTATCAATGGTAATTTGGTATTTTGAAACATATTGGTTATTTTGAATAGATATGCGTTTTCGTTTTTCATTCTATTTGTGTTTTTGACATTGCAAGGCATCACAAACAAGACCACGGAAATCTTTGTTTTCTAAACAACTGTGATCCGCGAATTTTTCGCTCAATGAAAATGCTCAAAATCAAAAACACTCACCAGCTGCCTTATGAAAATTTTCTGACTGTAGAACTGCCGGACGTTGATGACACCGCGCTTTGAACAGTAATTTTAGCTGCACATTAATACGGGTGTTTCCACAGGGTATCAAAGAAATCGAGAGGCATATTCCGTTCTCTCGCGACAGTCGTTTAGGCTACCTGACCTTTTGCCCAACGAACCTGGGCACGACCATCCGAGCGTCCGTACACATCAAGTTGCCCAAGCTCGCGGCAAACAAAGCACGTCTCGAACAGGTTGCCGCGAAGTATAACCTGCAAGTTCGAGGTTAGCAAATATCAATAACATGATTTTCGGCTTTTCTGTGGATGCAGGCGACGAGGATATTACATAATTCGTGTATAAATCATACGTCTTCCGATCTTCAATACCTACATAATCCGAATGGATTTCCTTTTCTGTTCGGTTGTTTTTTTTCTTTGTTCAGGAACCCGAGGCGAGCACACCGAGTCCGAGGGCGGCGTCTACGACATCTCTAATAAACGTCGCATGGGCCTGACAGAGTACCAGGCTGTCAAGGAAATGCAGGACGGAATCCTTGAATTAATTAAATTAGAAAAAGAGGCTTGAGCTTTACAGCTCTATATGGCAGAGTGGCAAGAGAACCTATTAGTGCGAGGCCGTAACTTTTGAAACTAACGGTGAACACACTGAACGTTCTAATCTTGTCACCAATCTTGAACCACACTTTATAAGTGTGTGTTTATAAATGTTATTCACACAACAAAACGCTTGCTCCACTAGGCTGCCGGCTATTGAAACGACCTTATTAATTAGTATAGAGAACTAATCGGCAAAGAGGAAGCACCATTCAAATAAAATAAAAGACATAGAAAGAAAACCGTAGTCGAATTTAGGTAAATAAAACAATGAGCCTCTACAGTTGCTTATATCCACCCTTTGATTAGGGAGACGAAAAGAATAATCCGAAAATCACTTCAATATTGGAAAATATCAGATTTAACTAGGATCGCCAAATAATGTGACTATTTGACTGCATCAGATCTAAAGATAAAGAGTAGTCAACAAGGGTTAATAACGAGGCTGCGTGAATTTAAGGCTCACGCAGGCCCATGTGCAATATTAGAATAACATGGTTTTAAACAGATTTTCTCCGGCTGTTCGAGGTGCAGACAAGAAAACAAGAACGACGATCTACAACTTCTAGAAGTGTACATTATGCTTTCGATGAGTAGATAGATGAATGTAGTTGATTGTCCTGTCCTAATCGGGAGCAGCGATCAGACGCACAAAAGGGCCTCTCTGGAAACGGATAATATATACACCATCGTCGGTTAGTGAGTAGGTAACGTTGATTGGTACTTTCAACTGTCCCGCTTCTGGGTGTACTCCTCCCTATGTAGTACAGTTTAGCATTAATGATGAAGCCGATGGCTACAACGAAGTCGTTGGTCCACGATCGAAAAATAATTAACAGGCAAAGAAAAACGAAATTTGAATTCTGTGAACGTCACGAGCGATGACAACAAAATGTAATGGTGGTACGAAGATCAGGAACTTTCGGTGCTATGAAAAATAATAAGCAAGTGATACGATCGGTTCAGACAGCAGACGAACTCCATACCAGTCAACGATGCTAACTGCTAATCCGGGCAAATATTGACTACGAACGATTATAGTACGCTCAACACGTATAACAAGACGAGACGTAATGGACATAAGGCTATATTGTGAATAAATTCCCTGTTTGAGGTGGTAAAAATGCAAACTTATTACTTTTGTTGGGTAAGTTCTCCAAGTATTGATGAACCGCTTCAAGAAACGTCATGGCGCAACAGCTCTCGAGAGTCGTTTGTTTTTTTTTTCTAGAACAGTTTAGGTCTCTTGGTGCTCCGGATCGTATGTATGTGATTTTGAAGCTGGCCTCGTGCCACTCTATATACGTCCGAAGCACTGAGAGATCCGGACCGTGTCATTCGACGATTCAACGATGAAGAGACAAACGCGAAACGTATCGGCTGTATACTGCAACTGGTTGGTATGTGTACAATAGCAAATTTGCTATGATATGCTGGTACGAAAATTGCATAGCTTTGCCCCGCAGAATCTGAATAGAAGGTTCCTGAGTAAATTTGACGGGCAAGCTTAACGAACACTAGGTAAATACGAAAGAGTAACACGTGGCTAACAAGCGCAGTTGTCTAGGAACAACTACAGCCGTTTTATTAAGACTATAAAAGCCGAAATTTAGTAGACGATGCGTAGATAACAACTATCATGTGTTTAGTTATACAGATGAGGTCCGTGTCGTAATTGACGAAATGCAGGAGTTCGATACGACTAATAATTAATTGCTGGTGAACACTATGAATCGATATCTGTCCATGCGGTAAATTCTGTCACAGTATTTTCCGCAATATCAAAACTGAGTACGAATTGCTCATCCGTTTCAAAGGCGCTGACCGGGAACGACACTTTTAAATGTCAGGGGATCTCGTAAAAAGGTTCTATTGAGAACAACAATCGCTTGTTGACCCGCGGAGAACGCGTCTTTTAATTATTGACATGATGATAAACTCTGTCCGTTGTATCAAGACAAATTAGCCAACCAATGGTGAATTGCGCTCTTACGGTATCCATTTTACAGTCGTCTCTGGCACAATTGCACACAATCTATTTATGTGCTTTTCATTTTTTTGTAGTCTACTGATGCATTTTTTCATGCTGTGTTTTTCCTTTTTGGAATTTGATGGCAACGATGACCAAATAGCGCCAACGAAATTTGGTAACCCACAGCGCTTACGGGTTAGGCTGACTATGCGATCGATCCGTTGAAAGGTAGAAAATAAGTAACCCGTTGTCGTAACATATAACCCGTAAGGTCTAATTGTGCATATATTATTACATCTGGGTATTATATTAAACGGGAAATTGCATTGAAGGGCGAAATTTTATAATAAATGATGATGATGCTGCGAAGTGGATCAGAACATAATCTGCATCACCAAGCAGTAAGTGAGCTGAATTTAAACGTTAAACGTTCATAATATGCGTAATAATATACGTAATGCATAATATACGTAAAGTTCATAATATGTATGAAACTATACTTTAGCTTACGGATTGAACGGAATTGAATTAAACATTATTTTTCATAGACACAGTAAACGAACTACATTTATCTCAGTCTACGTCATACACACTGTTGCTAATAATAGTCATGAGGAGAATAGAACCCATATCTCTATACCAAGGTATAACTTTGACCATGGCTATCTTCATTTAATTTGAGTATGTGTGTATAGCTTCTACCCTGCTGGTTAAGCCTATTAATAAATAAATTCACATTAATTGCAAACAATACGATCGGATTTTTTGACCCTTTTGAACTATCCTATCAATAAGAATAAACCCACCTTGTAAAAAAAAAGTTCATCGTCATGGTATGTTGTCTCGACACGTAAGCTCCTCACGATCTTTCCCATAATAGTGCAGTGGTAATCTGTCTGCCTTCTAACTGGGGTGATAAAGGTGTGGTTTAGATACGAATCTCGGCGAAAACGTACACTGGCCATTTAGAAGATCAAACGGAAGTTACACATATAGTATGCGTTAGACCTTGGATCATATCGTCTCTTCTGCAAGACTTCTGAAGCAACACCATGCAAGAATACTGAAGCTTGTCTGCTGAGAGTACCTGTCAGCCTGCAATATAAAAATCGTGACACCTATGACATAGATTGAAAGATATACTCTGTAAATTGAAGGCCTTAGGACAAACTAGGTTCTGTTAATAAGGCTCACTGCTCCCGGCAAGCGATATTTATAGCCGGTGGTACCTAAAAGTATCACAATTTTGAAACTGTAATTGTAATATACTGTTATCCGCGTTAGCTGTCATTCGACTTCATGGCAAGAGTCGGTGTCTTATTGAGCAACAACGACTAACACGGTGAAGTCATGCAAAAACCCAAATAGTCCACACATGAAACATTTACCTTTTGCGCTCCTCTATCTGCAATTAGATATGGCTGTAGCCAATAGTAGAAGCTACAAATATCGTAAAATTTCTTGGCATACAGCAGAAACCATGTAATAGCGTTCTCGGAGTTCCTATTTTAGCCTTTGTATGAGTCCAATCTGAGCATTTTTCATACCTGATTCATAGCAGTCGCAAAGACAAAACGCTTTGTGCAGCACTGCTTCAAGGGTTTATAAGAGGCAATATTGTTTAGAACATGCAATTTGAAGGCCTCATCATTGCTTTTCCTATCCTTATTTTCTAGGGATAGAGGTGTCTCGACGCCCAGCTTCGCACGCGGACCTAAAATGGATAAAGAGACGCATCACCATGGCATCATCACAGGGACGTAGCTTGTGTACAGATATTCTGTCGCCCCACTGCAGTAAATCCAGTCATCCGTAGGCAGTTATACTTCATGTTTCGTCTCAGCCATCATAACACAATTCCTAGTTACCTTGTTTCGGAGGAACGCTGCCCTCTGCTTTTATGGTGCCTTATTTTAGCTACACATGAATCCTAATTCAATAATGCCTATGGGAGCGGTATAAATATTGAGAAGTTTTGATCATTACAGAATATATTCTGGTCCTTTCGCTGTACGTGCATTCATCGGTATTAATTGTCCTGTTTTCCCCGGTGCGATTAATCCATCCCTTTGCTAATGTTAACCCGTCGTCTTATTTAAGTTGTCACACAGCCTAATCCGTTTAGTCCTTGTGTTTCGAGCGTTAGGTCCGGCACCGCCGTTAAACATTTCATGAGATAGATGCCTGGCACGAAACGAAGTGCATCTATGCCAGGATTCAAGCCTTGACTACAACGTGTCCTTAGGATTAGAAGGCAAACACGTTATAAACTATGCTATTACGAAAACAGTCCGTTTAGTCTCCTATCCCTCGGCGATTATTCCTCCGTTGAGATCTCGGCGATATAACCTGTCTATTGCAATATAAAATATTCGAAAAGCCAGCGCACTTTTGAATTTGACTGTTTCCTAAATTGTTAACCGTTCACAAGATGGTGTGGTTCGTTAGATTTACGCTAGACAGAGGCGTTTATTAAAACGCCTCTGTCTTTTCAAGATTTTTCAAGATGGACTGATGAAAATTACATATCTTTTTGTTAAAGCTTTATATATATATATATATATATATATATATATATATCATTTTTGTGATTAAGAGCAGTCATTTATATACCTGCAAGCTGTCTGTAAACCGGTAAAAAATTTCCCATACATTATAGGTCAACAGTGTAGTGATGTTTGCGTTACTCACACAAGTTAAGTTGAAACCAGGAGCTCAAATAAAAACTGCTCAATGCTTTCAATATTTCTCAGTTCATTCACCAATGAGGTTCCGATTATATATTAGGATAGACTTTCTTAACACATAAAACCTAATTGGAGACAATCCTGCACGGAACTGCACGACATTTTGATGTTTTTAAAGCAATTAAAGGGATTCCATTTTACTTATTGACATTTGGTGAGAACATACAGACACAGATTAACAACACAATATTCCAGCATCAAAGACAGTATATCGAATATATTCCAGTACGTTCTAAACATAGCTCCAGAAAACACCGAGCAGCATAATATCTACCACAATTTTCCTCGCATATGAAGCATTTAGTTGTATTGTCCGGTTCTTGGAAATCCGGTTCGCCGCAGAGTCAATATTGACACTGAAACACAGCGAAGCGAGTGACGACATGTCTGTTTACCCAGTTTGGCCTTTCCCACTCACTGTGCTTCATCGGACCCAAAGGCAAAAAAACCCCATAAGTTTCCGCTAATTTTCGTACTATGTAGCTCCAAGGACTAGTCCAAACGCTCC